CCTCCCTCCCTCCCTTCCTTCCTCCCTTCCTTCCTTCCTTCCTTCCTTCCTACCTTCCTTCCTTCTTTCCTTCTTTCCTTTCTTCCTTTTTTCTCTCCCTCCCTCCCTTCTCTCCATTTTGGTTGCTTATCCATTGGAGCTTGTTTGGGGATACGGTATAAGATGCTCAACTAAATCTGTTTTCTGCAAAACTGCTTTCCAGTTTTCTCAGCAGTTTTTGATAAATAGGTAATCCTTTCTCCCATGGTTTGTATTCTCGGGTTTATCAAAAGATGGATTTACTGCATTTGATTACTTCTGGGTTTTGCTTATCTAGTCTATGCCACTGATGCAGGTGTTTTTGTTTTTTTTTTTTTGAGGCAATCAGGGTTAAGTGACTTGTCCAAGGTCACACAGCTAGTGAGTATCGGGTCTGAGGCTGGATTTGAATTCAGGTCCTCCTAACTCCAGGGCTCATGCTCTTTCCACTGTTTTTTAAGCTAGTGCCAAAGGGGTTTTGATGATCACTACTTTATCGAATAGTTTGAGATCTGCCAATTCTAGCTCCCCTCATTCTTACTTTTCCCTCATTAATTCCTTTGAGATTGTAGACCTTTTACTCCCTAAGCTGAATTCTGTTAATATTTTGTCTAGTTCTGTAAAATAAACCCTTGGTAGTTTGATTGGTTTGGCACTAAATCCAGAGATTATCTTTCATAATATCATTAGCATATTGGTTCTGGAGACAGAGAACTTGGTTTCACATTTCACCTCTGATGCTCGCTATGTGATTGTGGGCAAATCACTTAGCTTTTTCCAGCTTCGGTTTCCTCATCTGTAAAATGATGGGGTTAGACTAGATGGTTTCTAAGATGGTGATCCTCTGGTCATTGTTTATTAATTAATATGGCCCAACTATGAACAATGAATACATCTCCAACTACTTAAATTTTCCTTAATTTCTATAAATATTATATTTTATAATTGTATTTATATAAGTCCCAAATTTGCCTTGGTAGGTTAATTCTCAAATACTTTATGTATTTTGTCGTTACTTTGGAGAGAATTTCTATTTCTATTGTTTCCTCCTGGTTCTTTGCTCTATTGCAGAGAAAAATGTTGATGATTTTTGTGGATTTATTTTTTATCCTGTTCTTCTACTGAAGCTATTCATCATCTCAATTAGTTTATTCATTGACACTCTGGTGTTTTCCAAGTAAACCATCATGTCACGTGCAAATAGGAATAATTTTGGCTCATTTCTGTCAATGTTTATACCTTTAATTTCCCTTTCTCTTATTACTGTAGCTAACATTTCCAGAACTACATCAAATAATACTGGGGAGAAGGAGCATCTTTGATTTACCCCTTTAGTTATTGGGAATGCTTCCAGTGTTTTCCCCTTCCAAATAGTGCTAGCTCTTTGCTTTAGAAATATGCTTTTGATCATATTAAAGGAGGGTCCTTCTATGCTGAAGTTTTTTTTATAAGTTTTAGCATAAATGTGCACTGTATTTGTTGAAAACTTTCCCTCCATCTATTGAAACAACCATAAGGTTTTTACTATTTATATGATTCGTGCCAACAGTTTCCTAATGTTGAACCATCCTTGCATCCCTGGTGTAAATCCAACTTGGTCAAAATGAATTTTTTTTAAAAAATATGGAGATATTTCTGACCAAGAAGCCTTTCTTCAGGATTTGGATCATTAGATGTAGAGTGAGAGAACCTAGGTTCAATTCTCAGCTCTGCTACTTACCACTTGTGTGACCTTGGGGAATTACTTTCCCTTGCTGAGTTCTAGTTTATTCACTTGGAAAAGGATAAGTTTGGGTGACAGGATCTTTGAGGACCTCCCAGTCCAAAATTCTATGATCCCACCATATAGTAGTGGCTCACTTCCTCTATGGGTATGGCTGGTCCATCGTTCACAGGCTTAGGAATTCTGCTGGGTTGTGTAGGAGGCTGATTCCTTCCTTAATCATTGAAGTTGTCCAGCGCTTGCTCCCCTGTGCTAGGAAGCAAAGGCTAGGAGAGCAGACCACAACTCACCTTTGTGCTGGATATCGAATAGCCTTTGCTGCCAGAAGCTCCGGAAAGGCGCTATTCCTGTGCCTGGGCCAACCAGGATACAGGGTACCTGGGGATCCTGGGGCAAGTGGAAGCTGGGTGCTCTGGACAAAAAAGAAGGACTTATTTCAATACCAAATAAACCAATAAGCATACAACCAACTAACTAAATAATAATGATAGCAATAGCTAGCATTTATATAGTGCCTACTATGTGCTAGGCACTGTGCTAAGTGGTTTACAAATATCTCATTTGAACTCAGACTAACTTAGAAACACTCTATGGTCTGCAGATATTCTACAAGTTGGTGGTGTCAAAAGCAAATAGAAACAACTTCAAGTTGACTTAGAAAACCACAAATTAACGTTATCTATGTCATATTGTATTTTTATTTTGGAAACATTTCCCAATTATATTTTAATCTGGTTTCTGGCTGCATTCATGAGTTTTGCAGCAGACCCCACAAGTCTGTGCGTTTGACCCTTCTGCTATTGTTCTTGGAGTCAGGAAAACCTGAGTTTTAATCCTGCCTCAGATGCTCATTGACCAGATGACCCATGATAAGTCTCTTAGCCTCCCTGGGCATCAGTTTCTTCATCTGTAATATATTGGACTCAATAGACTCTAAGTGCCTTTCAGCTCTAAATCTATGATCTCCTCATATAATCCTGAGCTTGACAAACACATTCCCCAGGAGAAGATGTGGTTTTTGCTGAGGTAGGAAAACTTTGCTCATCTGGTAAAGTTCAACCCACATAGTTCCTTTTTTTTTTTTCCCAGAAAACCCTCCTTGATCAACCTGGTTTTACTTTTTTTTTTTAATCCCCTTCACAGGGCCTGGAACATAGTAAATACTTAATAAATATTTGTTGATTGACTCACAGGTTGTGAATGACCTTCCCCTACAGAACCCTCATAGCATTGTGTTCTGTTATCTCTCTAATGCCTTTATGGAAATTTTATAATTCAATCTCTTTGTGTTAGTGTCTTATCTTCCAACTAAACTATATACCCTGAGGGTGGGGACCCTATTTTGCTAAGCTTTTTAGTTCCCTCAGAACTTAGCAAGTTGGTTCACATACAGCTGGAAAGACCCTTAGAGATCATTGAGTACAACCATCCCTCTCTTTTTTTTTTTACAGATGAGGAAACTGAGTCCCAGATATGTGAAGTGATTAGCCTAAGGTCACATACCAAAAATCAGGATTTGAACGCAGGTCCTTTGATACCCTAACACTACTTCTTATTGTTGTTCGTTCTTTGTTTTTGAAGAAGACCAATGACAACATGGTGATGTGTTGACTTGAATGTGAATTGGATTTAAGTGAGGCAGAACTGCACACAGTCATCAGCTTCATTCTCTCTTCCAGAGTCATCAAAGTCGAGTGGCAGGACAAAAGTCAGGATAATTGGTGTGCACTTTTGATGCGTGACCAAGCTCTAAGCACTCCACAGCGCCTGCTTCAGCTGCCTTCATGCGCGTTGGAACAAAATGTTCTCATCCCCCCATCCTGCCAGGGGACTTCCCATGCCACAGAGGAAGTCATCGTAGGTGGCAGAAAACAAATCTTTTTCAGAAGGCTATATTGGGAGGCCACCCCAGAGAAGACTGAAGGTATCAAAGGTTTGCTTGGCATACAGTAGACACTTAATGTGTGCTTGTTCCTTCCTTCTTTCACTTCAGCAGGTTACACATTTGAAAGCTTAGCTCCATCGCTTGATAGCAAGAAGCAGGGATAAGGTTGGGAGATATCCAGGGGTTTGGGGGAGTGAGATAGTGAGTGGGGTCTACTGTTTAAATGTATGTAATAGCCCAGCCATCCTGAATCAATTGCTCTGCTTTTCTGAACAGTTCTTTTCCTGGGGACAGGGAAGGTGACTGTAATCTGATATTTATGGCAGGGGTTTCTCTGCCTGCATACTGTAATTCTACGAATCAGGGAAAGTACTCAGATTGGCACTTTGGTTCTGCTGGCCCCCTCCCCCCATTCCAATTGTCACTTACCCTCGGACAAAACAGGGTACCACTTCCTCCGGTTGTATTCGGTTGAGCCAGGAAGAGCAGACCCCATGGTGGATTGGTCCTTCCCCATCTGGCAAAGAAACAGAGGAAACAGGTGGTTTGGCCACCTATCTGGAGCTGCCAAGGCCCCTCCCCTGAAATCCACACCTGAAGGAGTTGCCTGGATCTGCCCTTGGATCATTTAGTGCAGGAGTTCTTAAATCTGGCTCCATGAACTTGTTTTTTTAAAATACTTCATAACTATGTTCCAATAGAATCGGTTTCCTTTGTAATCCTATGTGTTTTATATTAAGCATTTAAATACATTACTCTGTGATATGGTCCATAGGCTTCATTTGACTGCCCAAGGGCTCCATGATGCTAAGAGAGGTTGAGAACCCTTGGTAGTGGATAGAGTCTAAGAGTCAGACAGACCTGGGTTCAAATCCTGCCTCAGAAAATTACTAGTTGTGTGACCCTGGGCAAATATCTTCACCTTTCTAGGGCATAGTGTCCTCCTCTATAAAATAAGGGGGCTGGACGTGATGACCTCTGGGTGTCTTCCAGCTCTGAATCTATGATTCAGTGAGGTAACAGAAATGCCCAAAGGAATAGCTGAAGGGAGCCTGAGATAAGCTTTGGTGACTTCATAATTCGGATACCCAGTGATTCAGCTGGTAGGGATCTTAGGATCATAGATTTATGCCCGGAGGAGGCCTTAGAGTTAATCTAGGCCAACCATCTTCTTCTTCTTCTTCATCATCATCATCATCATCATCATCACAACACCACCAACAATAATAGTAACAGCAATAATAATAGGTGTGTATTTGCAGAATGCTCTAAGGTTTACAAAGTGCTTTCCAAATATTGTCTCATTCGATCCTTGTGACAACCCTGGAAGATTGAAGCTATTATTATCCTCATTTTACAGAAGTGGAAATTGAGGCAGATAGTGGTTAATGACTTGCCCAGGGTCACACGGCTAGTAGGTATCTGATTAAAATCTTCCTGACTCCAGGCCTTATTGAGCCACCTGGCTGCCTCTCATTTTACGGAGGAAGAAATTAAGTGGCCTGCCGAAGGTCACACAAGTATTGTCAGAGGCAGGATTTGAACTCAATGTCCTCTGACTTCTAGTCCAGGATTCTTTTCATGAGGCCGTTACTCACATCACTTCTCTATGCCCCCTCTACCCTTGGGGGACTTTTTGGGCTGTGGATGTGGAAGAGCCCTAAGGAAGGATTTGGTTTAGGGCTGTGTGGGGCAGGACTTCTGGCTTCACTTGCCTATCGAGGGAGGTTGGGGGTGGGGGAGTACTGCCCCTGCCTACCTCCGGTGCGGTAGGACACAACCGCCACGGTCAGGTGCACTTCATCAGGGTACATGTCTGGGGAGGAGCTGATGGAGTAGTAGCGGGGCTGCAACAGGGACAGCTGGGTCAGCAGGAGAGTGGACGGCATCTGCACCGATGGGAATTCCTCCAAGGCCTCCACGATCGTGGGGTTCTTGCCCCATTTCCACTCTTCATACTCTTGTAAGCCCTGCACCGAGGGAGGGGGGAAAGGCAGCTGGAATCAACTTGTAGGATCATCAACTGAGAGTGAAAAGGATCTCAGAGACTTGGAATTATCTAATCCAACCTTCATCATCGTCATCATCATCATCATCATCATAACAACATCAATAACAGTAACAGCAATAATAATAGCTAGTATTTGCAGAATGCTCTAAGGTTTACAAAGTGCTTTCCAAATATTGTCTCATTTGATCCTTAGTGACCATTTTCCAGGAGAGGAAACTGAGTCCCAAAGAGGGGAAAGGACATGGCCAAGGTCATATAGGTAGCAATAATAATACTTAGCATTTTGAGTTGCTATGTGAGTGTTATCTCATTTGGTCCTCATCAAGTTGGTACTGTTATTCTTTCCATTTTACAGATGAGGAAACTGAGGCTGAGAGGTTAAGTAACTTATCTAAGGTCACACAGTTTATGAGGCAGGATTTGAGTTCAGGTCTTCCCAACTTCAAGCCTAGTAAGTGCAGAAGCCAAATCTGAACCCAGGTTGTCTGGCTTCCAATCCAGTGCTCTTTCAATAGTACCATGGATTGTGATCTCTGATGGAGACTAGAGGAAGCCCAGAGAAGGACCATGAAGTCAAAGAGAAACCTGAAAAGACCATGGGGCTGGGGAGGGATGCACAGTGCCAGGGTTTATGCCCACCATCACTCATTCCTTTTTTGTCTCTGTTACTGACCCCAGAGAAGAGGCAGTGTGATACAGTAGATAGCACTGGACTTGGAGTCAGGAAGGCTTGAGTTCAGATCCTGCCTCAGCCACTTGCTAGCTTTGGGACCATGGACAAATCACTTGATCTCTCTCAGTCTCAGTTTCCTCATTTGAAAAATGAGAGGGGTTTGACTTGATGGCCTCTCAGATACCTTCTGCTTCCAAAGCGATGATTCTCTGAGCCTGAGGGCCAGTGAAGCTTCCCAAGGTCACAGAGGAACCAAGTGTCTGAGACAAGATTTGAACCAAGATTCTTCCATGTCAGAGCTAGTTGCTCTTTTCAATGTACCACACTGCCCCCTTGCAGAGCTATCATGGCCCCTCCAAGCCTTCTCTTCCTCAAGGCTAAACACCCTCAGTTCCTTTGACTGATCCTCATAGGAGCTCCAGGGCCTTTACCTCCTGGCTGTCCTCCTTGATTCTCTCAAAGGCATCCACTCCTTTCCCAAAATATGATGCCCAGAAAAGAGCCCAATACCCCCATGTGGTCCAATCAGGTCAGAGATCCCTCTTTCCTGTCTGTCTTAACAGCCCAAGACCTCCTTAGGTTTCTTCATTGTTGGCTTGTGTTTCGTCAAGCCTCCCTACCAGGGGCTGAGATTTAACCATAGGGTGAGGAGGCTGGCCCGAGCCTCACCTTGCTGGGGACCCTCACCTTGCTGAGGACCAGCAGCCGCTGTTTCTCCTTCTCATTGGTGGCCAACGAGGCAAACTGCTGCAGCTGCAGGGGCGTTGGGGGCGTAGTGATGTCCAGGTAGTACTTAAAAGCCTGGAAGATGGTGCAGGGCGGGATCCGGTGCTCATCCGTCCAGTTACTGATGACGCCTGTTTGGGGACAACATCGTCCATCCCACAGTTACTTGGCATTCACTCGTCAAGGCATGGCTCAGGCCCAGGGGTCACAGACATACAGGATGACCAAGGCCCTGCCTGCCTTCAAGCAGCTGATACTCTGGAGATGGGGGTTGGGGGGGGGGTCGGGGCATTTCCATAAGTAAGTATTTTGTCTATGTCCTTGTTTCTTGGACATGTGAATGGGTTAGTGTGGGAAGTTCCCGGTGAGAGGTTCCCTGCAAGGGAACCCTTGTCTAGTATCAAGCACCTTTATGTACCCAGGCTCCTCCTGATGCTGAGGCTAGCTTATTATCCTTTAGGCAATGTCACTTCTCGGAGCCCACATGTTTCCAGGAAAAGTGAGGGAAGTCCTCATGGATGTAACAATGATAACAGTGGATGTTTATATGACACCTTAAGGTTAGCAAAGCAAAGGAGGGATGCAAGCAGTCCCTGATGAATGTAACAATTTTAATAGTGGATTTTATATGTATATGTATATGTATATAATTTTATATGTATTTATTTGCGTGCAGCAATGATAATAGTTGACATTTTTTACAAAGAATGTTCTATTCATTTGTTCCTTACAACCAACCTCTGTATCTACTATGCCATGAAGGAAACAAGAATTTATTAAGTGCTCATGTGCCTGGCACAGTGCTAAGAGCTTTACAAATATTATCACATTTGATCCTTACAAAAACCCTGGGAAGCAGGTGCTGTTATTATCCCCATTTTACAGTTGAAAGAGGTTGAATGACTTGCCCAGGGTCATATAGCTAGTAAGTATCTGAGGCTGGATTTGAATTCAGGTCTTACAGACCCAGTATTCTAAGCACTGCGCCACCTAGCTGTTGTGAAATTTTAATGGACATCACATGGCATTTTAAAGTTTGCAAAGTGCTTAATATATGCTATCTCCCTCCTTTGAACATTCCAACAACTCTATGAGAACTATTATCTGTCTTCCCCCCCATTTTATAGATGGGAAAACTGAGACTCAGAGAGAAACTTGCCCATGATATATGAGTTACTAAAAGTCATGGGTGGGATTTGAACCTACGTCTCCCTCACTTCAAGCCCAGGGCTTTATTCTCTTTGCCAGCAAAAAAAATGAGTAGAGAGGAAATAAGTAAATATATATATATATAAGTATATAAATATATAAGCAAATGAATATATAAATATGAGGGGAAAAAAAGTGTTCAACTCCACACCACCAGTGTGATATGTACTAGTGAGAGTCATGATCAATCACTGGAAGTTCCAGGTCCCTCAATAGAAATTTATTTGGCCTTTGAGACAGAAGTTGTCTAATGGAGAGAGAGTAAGGGTCTTTTTGGAGAATGAGAGATGCCCTCCCACGTGGAGCTTAAAGGTTCGAATGAAACAACTGGTCTCAGGATCATAGAATAATGGATTTTTGAGCTGAAAGGGACCTTGGGGCCATTTAGTCCAACCCTCTTATTTTACAGATGAGGAAACTGAGGCCCAGAGTGGTGAAGTGACTTGCCCAAAGTCATATAGCTATTAAGTGCCAAGGTCATGGAGTCTTAGGTGCCCAAGATGGGATGGTGACCCTAAGTCCTCTGACTTCAAATTCTCTTTCCTTTATGCCACCGAATTTCTCTTCATGCCTTTGTACCATGCCCATGATATCTCAGAGGAGTGATGGCACTCTCCCGGGGATATGGCGAGGGGGTGGAGCCAAGCATCCCCATAGTTACCCAAAGCTGTATTCCTCTCCTCCAGAAGCTCCACTTTCACCAGCTGGTTGGTGGGAGGGGCATCCTCGAGTCGATCGATCAGGGCATTCACCATGTCCTCATGGTTGCCAGGGAACACACCCAGATGGTCCCCAGGCTGGTACTGCAGCTCTTGGTTCCCATTGGTGTGGAGACGCACAAAGATGGTTGATCGACTGAAGGACGAGTTGGGAGTTAATTTAATGAAAGCCAGTAGCCCATTCCAACTAACCTCAGTCATCCCTCTCAAATTTTTTGCTGCCTCTTTCTTAGAGTGGGTAGATGGCTCAAAGTTGAGGCTAATGGCTCTTTATTCAATTCAATTCAACAAGCATTTATTAAGTGTCTACTGTTTGAAAGGCGCTGTGCTGGGCTATCAGAGCTCTAGTCCAACAGACCCTGTTCTCTGTAAGTTACAAGATCCTTCATGGCTAGCACTATCTCTAAGGCTAAGGCCCTGGATCTACAAACACCTTCACTAGCCTACACGGTTTGTTTCCACCCCATTGGCTGTCCCCAAACCTACTCCTCCTAGGATTTTAGAATGTTAGAGCTGGAAGGGACCTCAGACACTCTTTAGTCCAACTTTTTGGAAAGGAAACTGAAGTCCAGGAAAACAAAATAATTTGACCAAAGTCTTCCCTGTCATAAATAGCACAGGTGCAATTAGAACCTAGATCCTCAAATTCCCAAACCAGTATATGCTCCATAATATTACGATGACTCCCAGGTACTGCTTGGATCAAACTGAATTTGGACACCAGTAAAGCCCTGCACCGACCAGGGAGGTGGTGGTGTCAGAGAAGGGAAAATGTATAAGGCAGCCTATTGTTTTTTCTTTCATAATTTTTGTCACAGCCTCCCTTTTGCCTTGAGTCATGGGGTAATACAGCATATGCTAATTTGAATGTGCCTCCCTCCTCCCACCATGAGTTCCCAGGATCTTCTTCTTGTCTGTACTACTTTTAGCATGGGTACACTGGCATCTCATTTTTCACAATGACTGCAGTCCTACAAAGTTTCGCGTTTCATTTTTTGTAAGTCAAACCCAAGTTCTTCCACTGACTTGCATTAGAATTTCAGAAATGCTTTCTCTTCCCAATTCCGGCCCCATTTCTCATTGACCTGGACATTTGGAGCATGGGATTTTCTTTTCTCTTCACCTTTTTTTAAAGTCATAAGTGATGCATAAATGATACATACATATATAAATGATACATACATACATGCATAAATGATACATAAATATACATAGTACTTAAATATATGGGGGAATGTTTTTTTGGTTTTTTTTTTTGACCTGTGATTTGGTATAAGGATTGGTGTAAGGAACTCCTAAGGAGGACACTCCCTCTGTCAATACATGTTGCATCCTGTTCTACAACTCACACGCTTGAAGAGTTGACTAGGTCATCTATAATTTTATATATTTATTTACTATTTTATTTGCCCCCAAGTTTTTAAAAATTTTGAATTCCAAATTCTCTTCCCCCCTGCCTTGAGAAGGCAAACAATTTGATATAGGTTATACATGTGCAGTCATGTAAAACATTTCCGTATTTCACTAGGTCATTTAGAGGTTAACTGATTTACTTGGGGTCACCCAAATAGTATATGACAGAGACTGGCTTTGAACTCAGGTCTTCTGTGTGTGTGACTCTTTCCAGTACAGCACGCTGCCTCTCATGGGAAGCTTATTATTAATTAAAGGAACTCTTTGGTAAAATGTCTTTTTGTAATGCAGATCAGCTCCCTTCAATTTTTACACTTAGTAAGATTATATTGTCACACTGGTTTTCTTAAAGTGAGGCACACCGGTAATGAATGAAGCTCATGTATGATTGGATTTAGAGGCCACGTTCATGAGCAGCTGACCAGTTTGTCCTTGGATAAATTTCTTGTCCCTCTGAGCTACAGATTCCCTCATTTACAAAGAGGGTTTGGTCTAACCCCGAGGGGCAACAGAATTGGCATCAATCACACTGCCCAGATTTAGGAAATGGGATACTCACTACCTGTAGCTAGAGACCCAGCAGGGGGCGCTGTGGGTATGCCTTTTTTTCTTCTTCATTTGGCCAAACCACACCATGATGATGGCCTCTCAAATGTCGACATAATCACTTTCTGCTTTCTCCCAGAATCACCATGATTTCTTTCAGAAATCTCATTTGCCTGCAATCCCTTCCTTCAGTGCGGGAGAAACACTGAGGCCCCAGAGTCTGCTGAGCTGGTTTTTTTTTTCTTTCACCCCCAAAATGTGCTTAGTTGGTGAAACTCTTGGGCCAACTCATGCTTGCCCTCTTGTAGATATCAAAATGTGCTTGGGCAGATAAGGACGCAGGCGGGCATGAGAACACTGGACGGAAGCTGGCCTGGCTGTGTGGGCGGGTCCAGTGCTGTTCCCTTGGCCGGGCGGGGGTCAGAGGGTCGATTTTCCAAGGGCACTGCTGATGAAGCCCAGAAGCCCAGTTATGGCTACCTCTTGCTGCGTGGTCTCAGGGTACCTCCTGCAATCAGGTGGTATTGCCTCGTCACCATGGGTGACACTGGCCTGGGGGGTAGGGCACTTCTTTAGGATATCAATAACTTAGAAGTTGCCCTAATGTCGGTTTCCCTAAGATGTTTTTTCAGCTTGTGACGCAGACATAGACTTGTTTATACAAACTAGGGGAAGGGAAAGATCATGGGATCCTAGAATTGGAAGGGAATTTAGAGGTCATCTAGTATAATGCCCTCATTTCACAGATGAGGAAATTGAGGCCAACAGGGTTAAGCAACATACCTACAGTCACACAGCTAGTAAGTGTCTGAGGCTGGATTTGAACTCAGGCCCAGTGCTCTATCCACTGAACCACCTAGCTGCCCCATGTTTTACTCTTTAAAAATAAATAAATAAAAATAACTCTTTATTAAAACACGAGAACGTAATATTAAATAGGAAAATAGAGAATCTTTTAGCACAGACTTCAAGAGAAGTAAACACCTAGAGACAGTCTAGTACTTTGCTTTCTCATCTTTAAGTCTTACTAATGTATTCCTCTATCTAACCTCATTCACACACCTTGATCAAAACATTTCCAGGCAACTGTATTCTAGATCTCTTAACTTAGAGTTCAAGGTTCTTCTCAGGGCCTAGACCCAGTGCTTAGCAGTGCCTGGCACATAGTAGGCATTTAATAAATGCTTGTTTATTTACTGACTGACGGCAACAGTGGATACAAAGCCCTTGCAGGAGCCTCACAGATGTGGCACGTCAGTTTCGGGGAATCATTCCTATGTTTACCCTCTTCTACAACTACTGAAATAATTCCAATTAGATTTAAAATCATCGTTTCTTCTTACCTGTGTTTCTGTGCAGCAAAATGGGAAGGAGATTGTATGGTCTCGTGGGGGCCCCTATATTGTCTATCCCACTATAATGGTCTTTTTTCAATTAGAAGGGAATTTTTCCATTTAAATGAAAGATAGCAGTAGAGAGCCTTCTCTTCCCAATAGGGATTGCCAATTGCCATTTGAACTTTGTTAGTCCTGTAAATAACAGTGTCCTCTTCACGTGAGAATGCTCCTAGCAATGGCTGGAGATCTGTTGCTGCCAAAAACATGGCTTCTGATAGTCACTTACTTCTTGTAAAGCAGGGCTTCTCCACCTTCTCACTGTGATGACCCCTAAGGACCTTTCCAACTCTATAATCCTTATGAAGATAGCCAACCTTTGAGGCTCATAGTGGATTCTGCCTAGTTTTTGAGCAACACTAACACTTAAGGGCAACTGGGTGGTGCCATAGTGCATAGAACGCTGGGCCTGGAGTTAGGAAGACCTGAGCTCAAATGCAGCCTCAGACACTTACTAGCTGTGTGATCTTGAACAAGTCACTCAACCCTGTTTACCTCAGTTTCCTTGTATGTAAAATGAGCTGGAGAAGTAAACGGCAAATCACTTCAGTATCTTTGCTGAGAAAACCCCAAGTGGGGTCACAAAGAGTTGGACACAACTGAATATGCCTGAACAACAGCAACTTAGCTAATGCTTTAATGTTCACAAAGTGCTTTACAGATATAATCTCATTTAATCATCACCACAACCCTAGAAGGTAGGTGTTATTATTGACTCCATTTTTACAAATGAGGAAACTGAGGCCGAGAGAGTTTAAGTGACTTTCTGGTACGCGTCTGAGGCAGAATTTGAACTCAGGTCTTCCCGATTCCAGGTCTAGTGCACTTATTAACCACACTACCTAGCTGCATCACTCACGTCCCCAAGCCATCCTCTTTCCTTTTCCCATCATGGTCACCAACCTTCACTCTTTACCACAGGGGACAGAAATTGGCAAAGGAGACACAGCAAAGCCAGGAGTGAGCAAAAGTGTTTTTGTGCCACTGCAGAGGAGTTGAGACACTGTTTCAGTGCCGAGAATTGGAGAGAATAGTCATCCTTCTGGAAAGGATGATTTTAGAAGGAGGAGAGAGAGAGGATCCAAAGCGGATGCAACGTGTCCTTACCTGGAGTTAGGGCTCTGAAGGTTCTGGCGGCTGAGGAGCCGGGCAGCAGATACTCGCTTTTTGTGAATGCTGTACAGACCTGAAGGAAAGAAATCTCCTGAGATGGGGCTGCCGGTAGTCACTGAAACCGCCTTTAAGCCAGGGCCCACCACTCATCCTTACCCTACCCATTCCACCTTGGTCTCGGCTGGGCTGAATCATATGTTGTTTTTGTTGTTCAGTCTTTTCAGTCATGTCTGACCCTTTGTGACCCCATTTGGAGTTTTCTTGGCAGAGATACTAGAGTGGTTTGCCATTTCCTTCTCCAGCTCATTTTACAGATGAGGAAACTGAGGCCAACAGGGTGAAGTGACTAGCCCAGGGTCACACAGCTAGTACGTATATGAGGCAGGATTTGAACTTGGGTCTTCCTGACTCCAGGTCTAGTGCACTATCCACTGTACCACCTAGCTGCCAACATCATATAATAACTAGTATTTACATAGCACTTTGCAAATGTTATCTTGTTTGATCATTACAACCCTGGGAGGTAGGGGCTATTATCCCCATTTTACAGATGAATAAACTATAGACAGAGGTTAAGTGATTTCCCCAGGGTCCCCCAACGGGTAAGTATCTGAGGCAGGATTTGAACTCAGGTGTTTCTGATTCCAGGTCTAGTGCTCGATCCACTGAGCCACCTGGCTGCCTTTAATCATATCCTGGTCCTCAGCTTGCTGTCGACAGGCACTTATCCCCATTACCTACTTCTACTCCAACCCAACCCAGGTCCTTTTCTGATGCCTCGTCATCCCTCTAGAATAACTTTCCACTGCTTCCTTCCCCTCCCCCCTAGACCCTTTGCAGACATACTGCAGCTTGCCCTGAGCCAACCAAGGACAAGATTGAGATCCTCCCCTGGGTTTGTCATCCCTATCCTCTTTCTATCCCTTGACTGCAGAATGATAATGCCGGCTCATGTGTCTAGAATTCTTTACTAGGCACAGCCTAGGATCATAGATTTAGAGCAGAAAGAGATCTTGGAAGCAATCTCTCCAGCCCCCTCATTTTTATAGATGAGGAAACTGAGGCAAACAGGGTTAAGGGACTTCTCCAGGGTCACACAGTTAGTAAGTATCTGAGGTTGAATTTGAACTCAGGTCTTCCTAACTCCAGGCCTGGCACTCTAGCCACTGTGCCACCTAGCTGCCCTATATGTACCAGTGGTCTCTGCCATTAGAATGACTCCTTGAGGGTAGGGATGATGTTTTTGCCTTTCTTTGTATCCTAGCATTTATTATAGTGCACAGAGTAAATATTCATTGACTGATTTAATGGCTCAATTGAAGCCATGAAGGATCCTGCTGGTGAGACTGTATAATAAGGGGGAATCTGGGAGGCATAAAAGAGGTTCATTTTTCTCCCCAGCACTAATCAATTTTGACCTCTGATTTTTCCCTGTTTAGCCCTTGAGTACGGAAGCCTTATTGACTATGAGGCTATATTTTTATTACATAGCTAGATGGTTCAGTAGATAGAGTACTGCATGTAGAATCAGGAAGACCTGAGTTCAAATTTGACCGCAGACTTTTACCAGCTGTGTAACCCTGGGTGAGTCATTTAACCTCTGCCTGCCTCAGTTTCCCCATCTACAAAATGGAGGTAATAATAACTCCTACCTCCAGGGTTGTTGTGAGGATTGAGTGCGCTGATATTTGTAGAGCGCTTTGCAAACCTTAAAGCGCTATAGAAATGCTAGTTATTCTCATTAGCCATACACACGTATTCAGCTTGGCATGGGTGGCACCATCAGTGCCAACGAGAAGAGCAAGGGCTGTGGGTCCTACCTTGGGTGAGCTCTGGAGCTTCTGCCACATAGGTCAGCCGGAACTTGTTCCTCTTCCAACTTCGGTCGTTGCTGATGAGGGAGTTGTTGGCCTTCTCGATGTTGACATCATCCCCCACGCAGAACACATCACAGGCAGCCTGGAGCACATGCAGAGTTTTCAGAGACCTCCCTTAGGCTGATGGACCCTGCTTCCCTCCTTCTCCTAGCCTGCTCCCAGCTAAGCATCCTGCACTTTTAAATAAATTAAATGTTTTACTAAAAACTCAACATCAAACACCAATATTACCAATACTTATTGAGTAACTATTTATACTTAACTCAATTTCTTTCTTTCTTTTTTTCTTTTTTTGTCTAGGCAATGGGGTTAAGTGACTTGCCCAGGGTCACACAGCTAGTAAGTGTTATGTGTCTGAGGCCGGATTTGAACTCAGGTCCTCCTGACTCCAAGGCCAGAGCTCTATCCACTGCGCCACCTAGCTGCCCCCTTAACTCAATTTCAATGTATACTACACCAGGACAATTTTAAGTAGCTCCCCTTTCCCCTTCATCCCTGTGAGGATTCTTTAACAAAAGATCCTTAGATACAATTATATTTATTCTGTTAATTTTTTTTTTACTAGCTAGCATCATAGATTTAGAGCTGGAAGCTAGTTCAATACCCTCATTTTACAGGTGAAAAAACTGATAGAAGCTAAGTTACTTGCTCAAAGTCACACAGGTGCCAGGTAATTGGCCAAGCTGGGATTCAAACTCAGGTCATGGATCATAGATCTGGAGTTAAAAGGAGCTTTCGAGGCCATCCAGTACAATGCTCTCATTTTACATAGGAGGAAACCAAGGCAAAGAGCAGTAAAATAACTGACAGTCAGAGATCCTCTGACTCCAAGGACAGCCTGCCTCACATCATTCCAAGGTGCTTTCCCTATTTGAGCCTCAAAAGAGTTTTGTCAGGTAGTCTCTTAAGGTATTATCCTCATTTTACAGATGAGGAAACTGAGGCAGAGAGATGTGAAATGACTTGCCCAGGGTCACAGAGACAGCAAGCATCAAAGGCAGAATTGGAATCCATATCCCCCAACACCCAACATGCATCCTTTCCACTATAACATGCTACTTCTCATTAACTTTGTCTTTTATATGGTGATAGCTGGTCTGTACCCTACTCATCTCATGCTGGTTTCCCCCCTTTCCACATTATTTCACAAAGGTCTTTCCAGATTTTTCTGCATTCTTCATACTTGTCAGTCTTAATTGAACTACACTATCCCATTTCATTTAAATATGGAATAAGACTGGACTTAAGAATTTATTGGTATAGGGAACTCTGGGGTGGAGGAGTGCTCCACGTCAGTGCAGGTTGGCTTCTTCCCACTTACAGGTTGGACAGTTGCCTAGAGTGTTGAGAGGGTAAGTGACTTCCTCCAGTCAATCAATCAGTCAATATTTGTTAAGTACCTACTATGTGCCAGGGACTGTGCTAAGCACTGGAATACAAAAAAGAGGCAAAAGACAGTCCCCGCCCTCAAGAAACTTACAATCACACACACACACACACACACACACACACACACACACACGTTTAGATATATGTCCAAAGAAGCTGAAATGTGCACCTCAGAAGCCGGTAGTTTCTTATACAATCCTCTTTCCTCTCCTCTCCTTTGTGGACTGTAAGGTTGGCATTTGGTGGTGGTTAAATTCACAGTTACAAAGAAAATTAAAAGAAATAAAGCAGAGGGGTTGGACTTAGCTAGCTCTAAAGTTCTCTGATTCCATATGGAAAAACACCTGGATTATAAAGGAGGAAGCCACTGGCAGCTGATGATGTAGTGTGTAAAGCACCGGGTCTGGAGTCAGGAAGACCTGAGTTCAAATCCAGACTAAGACACTTACTAGCTGTGGGAACCTGGAGAGGTCACTTAACCTCTGCCTCAGTTTCCTTACTTGTAAAATGGGGACACTTATAGTAGCTGATTTGCAGGATTGCTGCGAGAATCAAATGGGATAACATTTGTAAAAGTGTTTAGTACAATGCCTGGCACATAGTAGGTGTAACAGCAACAACAACAAGAAGAAGGATTTATATGGGTTAGAACATTTTTCTAAACCAGGAATTCTGAACCATTTTGGAGTCATTCTAGTATCTGGCAATCTGGTGAAGCCTATAGACTCCTTCCCAGAATCATGTTTTTAAATGTATAAAATAAAATACATTGGGGTACAAGAGAAACCACTTATATCAAGATAGTTATCAAAATCTTAACACCCCTTCCCACTCAAATTCACAAACCCACCCCCCCGAAATCTATCCATGGACCTCTTAGATGATGGTGGACTATATTAGAACTTCTGCTCTCGATCCAAATTCTTCCAAAGTCCCCTTCCCAAGGCAAGGAAACCAGTTACCTTGAAGACCTTCTTGGCCCAGGTTCTGAAGGCTTCTTCCTGACCACAGAGCTCATCCCCTTCCCTCATCTTCAGGATGCGTTCCCCTCCAAGTTCCTCTAGGAGGGTGTCCACTGCGTGGCCAAAGGCACAGAAGTGGGGGTATGCCCTCGATCCAAGGCCAAACACTGAGAATCTGCCAGCAGGACAAGACAAAGTCACAAGGAGATTCCTTTTCTGTCCCTGTATTCTCAACTTCTAACATCATGCCTGGCATATTAAGGATCGGGATAGGAAAAGTCAATGATTGGGGTGAGGTTGTTTGGGAAGCCATTCACAAATACCAACCATAGCTCACTTTCCCATAGTGTTTTACAAAGTGCTTTAAATTTTTTAAAAAAACTCTGAGCCCAAACATCAAATGAAATGAGTATTTCCCTCTATGAAGTAGAACAGAAAAAGGAAATTATAAATGAAGTGATGAATTTCTATTATGTACATCTTGCTTTTTCTTACAAAGTACTTTAAATGCGTTTTCTCTTTGATGCTTACAGCAATCATGGAAGGCATGTATTGTGGAAAGTATTACTTCTCCCCTCCCACCACCATTCACAGATGTGGAAACTGAGGTTGAGGGCTTCAGTGACACTTAGTCTTTCCCATTCAGATCTAAGGACTAGGGTGGGTACAGTATGATTTTTAGAAGTCTTTGGGGCTCACCCCAGGTACTGTCTCCCCCATGCCCCAGTCATAAATGGTCCCCTAGCAGCTAGGTGGTGCAGTGGATAGAGCACTGGGCTTGGAATCAGGAAGACTCATCTTCCCGAGTTTAAATCCAGCTTCAGACACTTACTAGCCAGGTGACCCTGAGCAAGTTACTTTCCTCAACTGTAAAATGAGCTGGAAAAAGGAAATAGCAAACCACTCTAGTATCTCTGCTAAGAAAAACCCAAATGGGGTCACACAGAGTCAGACACAACTAAACAACACCAACAAATCAACAATAAACTAAAGAAAGCAGATGTGTAAGGAGACATATCAGTAAGGAACAGCCGGCTCCTATGAGAAGACGTTACCCCTTGTGGTCAGCTGGGAGGGCAAACCTTGGTAGAGGGCTTCCATAGACCCCTTAGGCATAAAAGTGCTGGATGTTTGGGGGAGGAACTGAAAAGGGAGGACATGGCAATGGAATCTCCACGAACTTGGACTTATCATTTTAGTTGCTGTCCGTGGTCCTCGGCCCCCCCCCCCAAAGTCCCCAGTGCCCCAGGCACACCTCACATTGGCCAGGGGCCCAGCACTTTCAAAGTTGTCTCTCATGTCAGGCCCATCACTTGAAGATTTCCGGGCATCAGAGTATGAGGAGACGCTATTGAAACGGACCTTGTAACTCCTGCAGAAAGCAATGGAAACAAGTGAGTGCTGGAAGCAAGTTCAAGCTTCACCCAGTCTCCAGGCCCCTGGGAACCTTTGATCTTTTTCTGCTTCAAGCCTGCTCTGATATCTGATTGCACTTCCCAGACCTGCTTTTTTTACTGTTCATAGGCAATGCTCCCCTTTGCGTCCAGCCTTCCTTCGTCTTTACCCACATTGTAATAGGTAACTGTCAATTATCCACCCAGAGGGAGAGAAAGCAAGGGCGGAAAGAGGGAAGGAGGTGAGAGGAGATGTCACAAAGTAGAACAGGAAAGGAGTAGAGGTTGGAGATGGAGAAAAGAGAAGAGAGGAGAGACAGAAGGGGAGGGATGGGAAGGGAGAGGAGAGATGGAAAAAGAGAAAAGGGAAGGAGCAAAGAAGAGATGGAGAGAAGAGATAGAAAGGAGAGATGAAGAGAAGGGGGATGAAGAGGAAAGGAAAGATAAAAAAAGGACAGATGGAAAGGAGAAGAGAGGAGAGATGGAGAGAAGTTAGAAAGGAGAGGTGAGATGGAGAAGAGGGAAGAAAGAGGAAGGAGAGAAGAGATAGAAAATAGAGGGGAGATGAAGAGAAGAGAAATGAAGAGGAGAGAGATGAAGAGAAGGGAGATGAAGAGGAAAGGAAAGATGGAAAAGAAGGAGGAATGGAGAGGAGAAGAGAGGAGAGATACAAGAGATAGAAAGGAGAAATGAAGATAGGAAAGATGGAAAAGAAGGAGGGATGGAGATGAGATGAGAGGATAGATGGAAAGAAGAGATGGAAAAGAGAGGAAAGATGAAGAGTAGAGGAGAGATGGAGAAGAGAAAGGAATGGATAATAGAGAAAAGATGGAGAAGAGAGGGGCCAGATAATCCAGACTGGCAGATCATTTTTTAAAAATTACATTTGGCTTTGGAATTTATCGTGCGATGAAATTATTTTTACAGCTTTACTGTCCCAATTACATTTTATTTACACCAGTATTAACATAAGTTTGCATCTCTTTGAGTGCACACTGACTTTTGGTGGGGGCTGTGGGGAGGAGGAGGAGAAGATGCAGCTGGGTAGGGGGGAAGCTAGTGGTGAGTGCAGATTCGGCATCTGTGAGGCTGAGTCCGGCACCCTCAGGGCCCCCAGGGCAGGCCAGGTGCCAGTTCGGCAGAAGGTGACACCACTGTTGCTGGGTCTTCATCAGACTCCCTGCGCAGCTGCCCGCTGGGGCAAAGGGAAGGAGGGAATAGCTTCTTGCTGGCCTCCCAGGGGCTGTTGGCATAGCCCGAGAATCTCCCTGGGAGGCTTGTTCGTTTAGTACTGGTTTGGTTTGTTGGGTTCCCCCACTGGCCCAATCCGTGCTTCTTGTCTTCTCAGGGAAACTGATACTCAGTGGAATATCTTTCCTCTGAATGCTTTCCAATGGACAGCCCCACTTATAGTCTATCCTGCCACGGACTCAGCTGGCCACGGACCCTGCTATCACCCCTGATACATCAACGTCCCTAAATCATCTTCCCTAGACTCAGAGTTGGAAGGAAACCTGAGAGGCCATTGAGTAAATCTCTGTCATTTTACACATGAGGGAAGCAAAGCCCAGAGAGGTGTAGTATCACCCAGGGTCACACAGCCAGTAAGTACCTGAGGCAAGATTTAAACTCAGGTAGGGTATTTCCCTGATAGGTCTTCCTGGAGACTTGGGGTACAGGAGTCAGGGGGAGAGGGGGTTGACAGGGACACTCCTTAACTCAACAGCCCTTCAAACACTAGAAGACAGATGTCATGTCTCTCCTGAGGCTTCTCTCCTCCAGGCAAAACATCCCTGATTCTTTCAGTCAATTTTCATATGCCATGAACTTGAGATCCCTCCCCATTTGGGTTACCTTCTTTCAGACATTCCCCGGTTTATCATTCACTCTCCCTCTTACTACTTGTGTGACCATGGGAAAGACACTACCCCTCTGGGCCTCAGATTCCTCATTTGTAAAATGAAGGGGGGGATGGGGATGAGATGACTTGGGACATCCATGCCAGCCCTCCCTCTACGAGGTGATCACCCAGAGCTGAACACAATATTTCAAATGTGGTCTGACCTGAGCACAGAGCTGCTGGGGGACTAACGCTTTCTAATTTTGGGGCCTCATGACTCTCTCACTGCAGCCAATGGGAAGAGAGTTGTTTTTTTTTCCTCAAGGTTAGCAGGAGAGCCACCCAGCACCCTTGTGATCTCAGCTATCAGTCGGGAACTCGTGACTTAACCAAAATCAAATTTCCCCTTAAGAGGTGATGACTTCTGTCCTCAGACAAAGACAAAACCTCCAACCCAGACCCAAACCAACAACCCCCAAACAAAACAAAAACGGAAATGAAAAGACAAACAAGCCTGAGAGCAAAACCGGAAGCTTGTGCACTCTGGCAGCAGCGTTTCTGAATTGGGTGGCCTTCAAAGTTTTCTCTCTAGCATCAGGAAAATGCTAAATATATGGATGTGTATTTATTGTCCCAAAATAGATGCCTCAAATTGAGTCATATCACCAAACAGGCCGCCGCTTTCATGCAAGCCGATCATAGAGGTAGCCGCATTGTTAGTGCAGGGCAGCTGGCCACGGGAATAAAAATAATTCCCTGGATTTTTATAACATTTTAAAACTCCCCTCCCTCTCCCCCATGCTTCTCGAGCCATGATCTCATCCCATTTTCATAGCAACCTCAGGAGGTAGGCAAAGGCAGGCGTGATCTTCCCCATCTGATGGATAAGAGCGAGGCTCAGATTGGTTAAGTAAGTGTCTCAAGGTCACAAAGCAAGTTAGTGGCCCAATCCCAGCTCTGCACTCTTCCCATGAGATCATACAGAGTGTGGAAGGACCGAAGGGGAGTCGTAGCTTTGGTGGTTAGCTTGGGAGCTCAGCAGACACACAGTCTACCTGTCCTGACTGTCCCGGACCGCAGCCAGGTTACACACTTCTGTTTGGTCATAGGGAGGTGGTGGCCCTTTACGGGGAAAGAAACGCAAGGGTTCCGGGGACCTAGAGAGGAGAACCAATAGAGCCCCATCTCTCCCTGGAGAGGGTGGTCAGGGGGAACCTGTAGTGAGATCAGCAGTCTGGGCAGAGCCTTCCCTAAGTGGGAGAAGGCAGCTTCCATGAGAGACAGGAAGCACGTAATAAATGAGTGCAATTCACACTTCTATAGCACTCAAGTTTGCAAGATATATTCCTTACAATGCCCTTGTGTACAGTGGCTCCGTAGTCAGAGGACCTGGGTTCGAATCCTGCCTTGGCCACTTACTACCTCTGTGTCTTTGGGCGAATCATTTCACTTTCACATCTTTCTTCATCTGTAAAATGAAGGGACTAGACTATGTAGCCTCTGAAGTCCTTTGTAAATCTCCAGGTTGTATGATATGGGTGAGGCATGAATTATCTTCTCATTTGAGAGATGAAGAAACTGGGGCTCAGAGAATGAAATGCCTGGTCCATGGTCACACGGTCAATGAATCTCTAAGTCTGGGCCTGTTGCCCAGGGCTTGGCTGCCAAGCAAGAGATTGGGTGCCAGAAGGGAGACCGGCTTGCATTTCCCAAAGAGTGAAAAACCATCACCCCAGATTCAGGTACAAGGTAAAACTGTCCCAACCTACTGAAAAGATGTTTAGGAAGCAGCCTCTTAGGGATAAGAGAAGGAAAAGAATCTCATTTGACTCCTCTTAATTTGAATATATACCCCAAAAGGGAAAAAAAACCAGTAAAGACACCTGAAATTGCTATGAGATTTAAAAAATTCTAATCACCTTTGAATTTATTCTTTCATCAGACCCCTCACATTAGCTCTATACCATAGGAAGCACGAGGATGATTGTTTCTGTTTGACAAATCAGGAAACTGAGGCAGCTAGGTGATAGAACGCCAGACTTGGAGTCAAGAAGACCTAGGTATGAATTCCACCTACTAACTGTATGAATATGAACAAATAACTTAATCCCTTTCTGTTTCAGTTTTTTTAATCTATAAGATGAGGATAATAAGAATCTTGCAAACCTGGAGGTGCTATACAAATGTGAACTCATTATTATTAAATTTCAGGTTTAGAAGCAAGTGATGTTAACTTTCATGGACTATAGACATTCATCAGTTTTAGTCAGTGGAATTCTTTCCATGACTTGGGGTCCCATTCTCCACTTGGAGCCCACATCTCAACTCCAGGGACCAGCCATATAATGGTCAGGTACCCAGGTCAGGACCAGGTTCTCGGTAGGATGGGAGAGAACTGAAGATGTAATCCACTTACTTCCTTTCCTCCTGCACGGAGTTGGGGTGCCTCATCTCCATCAAAGCACAGCCAAATTTCTGGAGACCGAGACAGACAAGAGAAAGGTTAGTTGGGACACCATGGAATCTGGCCCAAGGTCAGGTACGGATGCAATGCAATCCAGGCAGGCAAACTTCAGCTATGAAATGACAGACTTTGTGGCTTCCTGGGAGCTGGGTCCTCAGAGCCAGGTGTAGACAGGCATCCCTCTGAGCAGCCATTTGGCTATGGTGTGGCTCAGAGATGGCCACGAGCAGAGGGGCAACATTTATCCACTAATAATAATGGTAGTGGTAGTAGGGTAGTAGGGCAGCTAGGTGGCACCATTGTGCATAGAGCACTGAGCTTGGAACCAGGAAGACTCATCTTCCTGAATTCAAATCTGGCCTCAGACACTTACTAGCTGTTTGACCCTGGGCAAGTCACTTAACCCTGTTTGCCTCAGTTTCCTCATCTGTAAAATGAGCTGGAGTACCACTCCAGTAACTTTGCCAAGAAAACCCCCAAATGGGATCATGAAGAGTTGAACCTAGCAGAAACAACTGAACACATATATCCTCACTGGGTCTCAGTTTCTTCATTTGTAAAATAAGGAGATGGGGCTAAATCACCTCTGAGGGTCCCTCTAGCTCTAAGTTTAGATCCTCTTATCTCACTTGAGCCTCATCATAACCCTGGGAAGTAGGTGCTGAGATATTTTTTGTGCCCATTTTACAGATGAGGAACCAGATTTGCCCAGAGTTATAAAGCTAGTAAATCCAGAGGCAGGATTTGAACCTGAGTGTTGACCACCTTTAAGTCTAGAGCTCTCTCCACTACACCCTCTGTAACTTTGCTTCTGCTAACTCAGGGGATGTAACCCTTTACCAAAAGGCCTTTTTGTAATTCAATTCACATCTTTATTAAGCACTTGCTGGATGCAAAGGCTGATGCTAGGCATTGGGGATATGAAGTCAAACTTGAAAAAAATGCCCTGCCTTTAAGGAGCTTATATCTAGGAGTGTGCTGGAGCCAGCTTGGAGAGCTGATTGTTAAATTTCCACTGTGAGCATTTTGTCATTGTTTAGTCATTTTTCAGTAATGTCCGACTCTTTGTGACCCCATTTGGGGTTTTCTTGGTAAAGATACTAGAGTGGTTTGCCATTTCCTTCTCCAGCTCATTTTACAGTGAGAAAACTGAGGCAGACAGGGTTAAATGACTTGCCCAGGGTCACATAGCTAGTAAGTATCTGAGATCATATTTGAACTCTGGAAGATGAATCTTCCTGGCTCCATGCCCAATGATCTGTCCACTGTGCCACCTAGCAATGCTACCGATTAAGCCTTGATTTATTGTTTTATTGATGACTTAGACTTAAGAAAGTGATGGAGAAAATATTGACAATGTTAATTAAACTGAAGAAGTGGGGGGGGAGGGTACAACTTGTACACAGAAAAGATTCTGTGCTTACTTATCCAAGTCCATGTTGTTTCCCCACAGTTGACTACAAGCTCCTTAAGGGCAGGGACTGGTTCACTTTTGTCTTTGTGCTTAAACAGCCTCGCCCATGCCTGGCACACAAGGAACACTTAATAAGTTCTTGTGAAATAAATAAATGGATGGATACAAACACAAATGAATGAAGCAAATAAATGAATGAATACAAATGACATGTAGCTTGTAAGGGTATCAGTGAGGACTGGCCAGGTGGAGGAGTCTGAATCAGCCCACCAGTTTGTGGTGAGGATGTGACCCTCAATCTCTTCCTTTCTGAGGCTCTGGTAGGATCTGGGGTGGAAAGGTCTATGAGCACTTCCCCTTCCCTCTTTCCCCAAGAGTGGGTAGATATTCTTGGATGGGTGATGGGTGCTCAACCTACCTCCCCGTTCTCTGGAGGGTCTCCATTGCCAAAGGTGCTCGTAACCACCAAGACCAGCGTCTCATGTTCTAGGTGTACAATATCATATTCTTCCATGGACATGACCTATAAGGGAAAGAAAGAGAAACAGTGAGAGATGGGGACAGTAAGAATAAGAAAGGAAAGGATAGAGGAAGACAGAAGAGAGAGGGAAAAAGATGTTTGCCAGGTGCCTCTGTCTCTGCAGCATGGGAGAAGCCAGACCCGTGGATCACAGGCCAGCAGGTGTCACTTTTAGGTGATTGGTTATTTTTCTGTGTTTTTGCTTTTTGGTGAGGCTACTGGGGTTAAGTGACTTGCCCAGGGTCACACAGGTAGTAAATGTCAAGTGTCTGAGGCTGGATTTGAATTCAGATCCTCCTGACTCCAGGGCCAGTGCTCTACCCACTGCGCCACCTAGCTGCCCCAGTGATTGGTTATTGAAACTGAAAGCTGACCACCTGACCTGGCTCAGCAATGATTCATCCCTCCCAAGTACAAAATAGTGTACAGGGGTTAGGGACATGGAGATCAAAATGATACAATCTCTGCCATCCAGAAGCTTCTGTGATACTGAAAGAGGGAGAAATATTTACACTGATAAGTATGATACTGAGAGGCAGTGTCAATTTTAGCGGCTAAAAATCAGGGCTACATACTATTCCTATAATAGGTCACTATAATAAGTCCTTCGAGAATGCAGGATGAACAACATCATGGTAGCACAATGGATAAAGTGGGATTTGGAGTCAGAAAGGTGCAAGTGTGAATCCTGCTTTAGATATTTACTATCTATGTGACCCTGGGCAAGTCACTTAAGAGCTCTGTGCCTCAGTTTTCTTATCTGTAAAATGGGACAACAACAGCACCTACCTCCCCAGTGTTGTTGTGAGGATCAAATGAGATTATATTTGTATATCTGCTTTCTTTCCTTCCTTGAAGCCAGGAAGAACTGGGTTCAAGTCCTGCTTCTGACTGGGTTATTTGACTGAGCAAGTCACTTAGCTTCTCACTATCCTAGGCAACTCTATAAGCTTCAGGAAATGTCCATTGGTGGGGAGAATTTCCTAATTGAGAGTTCTGCCTGTCAACAAAATCATGGGTTGGTCCAATAAGAGCAACAAAAGAATTAAGGGAGAAGGGAATAAGCATTTATTAAGTGCCTACTATGTGCCGGACACTATGCTAAGCTCTTTATAGATATTGTCTCATTTGAATGAGATGAAGAAGCCCTCTAAATGCTGTTAAATGAATGAGCCCATTAGGTGGTGGAGTGGATAGAGTGCTGGGTCTAGAGTCAGGAAGACCTGAATTCAAAATCAGCTTCATCCATTTACTATTTGGGATCCTAAGCAAATCACAACTTCTGTTTGCCTCAGCTTTGTCACCTGTAAAATGGAGATAATAGCACTTACCTTAGGTCATTGTGAGGATCAAATGAGATGATATTTCTAAAGTGCATGGCACAGTGTCTGGTATACAGTAGGTGCTCCATAAATGCTATTATTCTTATTATTAGATAGTAACTGATCTCACAGTTTGCAAAGTGCTTTAGAAACAATGTCTCATTTGAGCCTCATAACAATACTCTGAAGTAAGGATGATAAATATTCTTATCTCCATTTATTACAGCGGTTGAGGAAATTGAAACTTATAGAGTGATTTGCCCATATAACTAATAAGTGTCAGAGGTGAGATTTGAATCTAGGTCCAGGTTCCTGACTCCAAGTCCAGAATGCTACTCATTGTGGTGTATCTTGGTGATTCCCCAGGCTCTTTATACATCTTTAGTACTCCTAGAGGAGTAATAGAACAATAGTGGTGATAGCTGGTATTTTTATAGCACTTTACCTATGTTTTATCACTTGATCCTTGTGACAACTCTGTGAAGTAGGCACTATTATTATCACCCCGATTTTATAGATGAGGAAACTGAGGCAGACAGAGGTGAAATGACTTGTCCAGGGTCATGTGGCTAGTGTCTGAGGCTGTATCTGAACTCAGGTCTTCCTGCCTCCAGGCCCAGCTTTCTATCCACTGCACCACCCAGCTAGCTGCCTATTGAGGAATAAAAGCTACCCCTAGCCAGGCTAGTCTAGTTTTGCCTAAAAAGCTATTAAAATCGTCTTTGAGGCTTCTTTGATCTGAGAGACTAAAGCTTGAACCACTGACGTGCCTTCCCAATTGTGAGCACAAAAGTCAGACCCTGAGGAATCAGGGTCTCCTTCCTCAGACCTGAAACATGCTTTCACCTGCAGCACCAGGGCAAATATGGCAGCAGGAGAGCTGTGCCCACCATTGATGCTATAGATGGTGAGCTCCTTGAGGGCAGGGCCTGTCTTTTGCCTCTTTTTGTATCCTCATACTTAGCGTAGTGCCTGGTGCATAGTAGGCGCTTAATAAATGTTGATTGACTACATCTTGCTATCTCTCTACTCCTTTTTGTTAGCTGTTAAGTGGCCTTTGAGAGTCTCATTCTTTTCCAATCCCAAATCTGAACCACAAGACTAGATCGGACCAGAACCAAGAGGGGTATCTTTGCAGTTAGGGAACCTCTCCTGTTACCCAGAGCTTGGCAGGCGGTGCTGGGTCACACTCACCTTGGCATCGAAGGCATGTTTGAAGATTTCACATAAGGTTTTTGCATAGGCCTGGGATTTGCCTGTCTCGGTGGCGTAGAGGATGGTGGCTTTGACTCTTTTTGCCATGGCCTGCCCCATCAGCTTAGCTGAGAACTTGACAGCTCTGGGAGAAGAGAGGAGAGAAGAAGATTAGGTTAAGAGCACTTTCAGCCAAGGGTCTTTGGGTCATGAAATTGAACATGGCCATTGTGTTCCATTTCATGTGTCTAAATCCTGTCTTCCAGTGGAATGTAAGCTCCCAGTGGGCAGGAAAGGTTCCATATCTGTCTTATATCATCAGTGCCTAGCACAGTACCTGGCATAGAGTAGGCACCTAAATAATATTTCTTGAATTAATTTGTCTTCAAAGCTTTGCTATAAGCTCCTAAAAGGCAAGTACATTGGCAGTTTGGTGGTGAAGTGAACAGAGTGCTGAGCCTGAAGTCAGGAAGACCTGAGTTCAAACCCAGTCTCAGACACTTACTAGCTATAGGTCACTTAACCTCTGTCTGCCTCAGTTTCCTCAATTGTAAAATGAGGATAATAATAACACCTACTTGGCAGGGTTGTTGTGAGGCTCAAATGAAATAATGTTTGTAAAATATTTAGCATAGTGCCTGGCACATAGTAGGGACTATATAAATGCTGATTCCCTCAACATTCTCTAGTATCCTCTACTTTGCTTATCAGAAGGCTAGTACACAATAGTTGCTCAACAAATAGTTGTGTATGGGTAATATGATACAAGAGGGATTGTCATAGGAGAAAAAGAGAGGTTCCCCACAGTTGATTAATAGATACTAGCTTTGGATCCCTTAACTATCTAATAGAATTTGCAGGATCATAGATTGAGCACTAGAATGGACCTTCAGGGCATTGGGGTCCAACCTTCTTTTTTTTTTTTTTCAGGCAATTGGGGTTAAGTGACTTGCCCAGGGTCACACAGCTAGTAAATGTCAAGTGTTTGGTTGGAGGCTGGATTTGAACTCAGGTCTTCCAGACTTCAGGGCTGGTGCTCTATCCACTGCGCCACCTAGCTGCCCCTAATCTTCATTTTACTGATGGGAAAATGGAGGCCCAGAAAAGTGACGATGACGTGTTAAGATTGCCAAGATGACTTGACCAAGGTTACTTACTGAGATAGCGTCTGAATGGGATTTGGACCCACATCTTTTGGACACCAAGTCTGAAATTCAATTTAATTCTAGAATTGCTTCAATGAAGCATTTATTAAGTACATTCATCGTGCTAGGCACTGAGATGCAAAGTTGAAAATGAAAGAATCCTTGCCTTCAGGAAGCTTACTTTCTTGTGGAGCACTGTCCCTGAAGGGAAATCACCATGGAACCACACTGACTAATCACTAATTATGTTCAAGGCATTATGAGACCACATTTAGGCCAGCCACTGATAAGCTGAGTGCCAAGGAGGACATCCAAGATGGTGAGAGGCTTCCAAGTCATGCTAGATGAGGATTGGCTGGAGAGAAGACTATGGGGGGATATGATAGCTGTCTTCAGGTATATGAAGGGATGGCATGTGGTGGAGGGATTAGTCTTACAATGGGGGGAGTTACAGAGGGATAGATTAGGCTTGATGTCAGGAAATGCTTCCTACCAATGAGAGTTGTTTAAATGAAGCATGAACTGGACATGGAAAGAATGATTTCCTTTTTATTTCAGTATATGCATTTGGGATGTTAGAGATAGGATTTTTGTTGAGATATGGGTTGGAGGAGAAAGCTTCTAAGGACTCTTCCAGCTCTGGGATTCTCATACAAAGGTACAAAAGAAAAGATCCCTTGGGAAGTTGGCCATAAATACATGGAAAATTAAGGTTGAAATGTGGTTGTCAGAGTCAATCTTGAGTGGCAGCCAATGCTCTCATCTCAAAAGTCAATGGCTGTCACTGAGTATAGAATGAGCTTCCAAGAATGTCTGGATTCCTCCATGCTTTCTCAGGGAACCAATTCCAGTGGTTGGGAACTTGGGCAGTTCATTGAGTGCCTGGGCAGAGGTTGGCTTTCCTTCATCTGCAGCTTCCTGAGATTTTGGGGTCTTGGGGATATTTCCGTAAGATTCTCAAAGGACACTTGGTAAATAAGGGGGCCCTGAAGGATGAGAGAAGATGCCAGGCCTGGCAGAGGGTTTGGCAAGTTTGAATATTGCCACAGTCCTGGTATCTGGGGAGGGAGAAAGGATTGTGTCTGAGCAGGCTAAAATTATAGAATGTCAGAGCTAAATAGAAGCTTAGAACACAATGTAGGAGAGCGACCAGGGCTTTAGAATATGGATGTCAGTGCTAGAAGGCACCTTAAAACACGTCAGAAAGGTTTGGCGTGTAGATTGTTGAGGTTGGAAAAATACAAAATGTCAGATCTGAGAGGTATCTTGGAACTCAGAATGTCTGAGCTGGGAGGAGGCCTTAGAAAAGAGAATGTCAGAGCTTCCAAGGAGATTTGACCACAGAATGTTGGAACTAGGAGGGAACATGAAGGAACCTTGGAAATAATCCATTCCAATCCTCTCATTGGACAGGTGGAGAAACTGAGTCCAAGAGGGGAGAAATGACTGGTGTCAAGTCACTCAGTTAGCCAGTGACAGAACCAGGACTGAAAACCAGGTGTCCTGACTCCCAAACCAGAGCTCTTTCCTACAGAAGGGAGGGCGGTCACAGGGTCTACGATGCACATTTCCAAGAATCCATGCTTGCAACCTGAAAAACAACCTTATGCTAAGCCACCAATCCAGGAGCAGGCAAAATGCCATTAATTCCCTCCCTGGGGGAATTATTAATGGTAAATTTATTATTTTTTTTAAATCATGGAAACCGCCTACACTCTAGTAACAATTAAAACTATGGGTTGGAGAAAAGAAAGGAAGGAGTGTTGCCTGGGAGGTTACGGCTTTCCAGGGCCCCCTTTGAATGATCCCAGCAAAAAAAAGTATCTATAATTAACTTCCATTGTTTCTACTCCAAACTCAATAGTGCAATTAACATTTTAAAACTCTCCCTCCCTAGACATACTGAAACTAAACTCCAGTCGAAACCTGTACAATAGTTTCTGATGGGGGCGATTTATAATGCCTTGGTTAGGGGAAGAATCACTGCTGATGTTTTCTTCCTAGCAGTGGGTGGGTGGCAGGGAGAGATAGGGCCTCCCTTCTGCTCTTAGAAGACTCATCAGTGGGGAATGGGACCTGGAGCCGTGCAGTGGGCGTGAGGGGAAATCAGTTTCTTGGGTTCGTGACCCCAGTGGGCTTTGAGAGATCTAGGGCCAATGGGCCCATTGAGTGAATTTCTTAGTTCACTAGGTCTGAGTAAACAGCTCAGAGGCTGTCTAATTTAATCCACTCATCCTGTGACTCAGGAAATTGAGATCCAGGATGTTAAGCCATTTGCTCAAGGTCATGCAGGTATTATGAATCAGAGGTAGGGATTTCATGTTAATGAAGACAGGGTCTTAGGTTCTAACTCCAGAATCTTATAATTTGAAGAGTTCAGTGATCATAACAGCTAGCATTCACAGAGTGCTTTAAGGTTTGCAATTGCTTTATAAACATTATCTCATTTTATCCTCACAACACCCCATGGGGAAGATGCAGTTATGAACCCAGTTTTACATAATAGGAAACTGAAGCTGAGATGTTAAGTGACTTGCCCAGAGCCACTCAACTAGCAAGTAAGTGTCTGAGCCTAGATTAGAACTTCGGTTTTACTGATTCTAGGTCCAGCGTTCTATCCACTGGGCCACCTAGCTGCCGCTAAAAGACTCATCTTCCTGAGTTCAAATCTGGCTTCAGACACTTACTAGCTGTGTGACCCTGGGCAAGGCTTCACTCTGCCTCAGTTTCCTCATCAGTAAAATGAGCTGGAGATAGAAATGGCCAACCACTCCCGTATCTTTGCTAAGAAAACCCTAAATGAGGCTTGAAGAGTTGGACAGGACTGAAATGATTAAACAACAACAAATCATATCTTCCCTTAAGTCTACTCTCCTCCAACCTAAACATCCTAGGTTCCTTCAGCTGCCCTTCATTTGGTATGGGCTTGAGATCCTTCACTGTAATGATCTCTCTCCTCTGGACACTTTCCAGGTTTTCATTGTCCATCATAGAACACAATCCTTATAGCATCTTGTGAATGGTAGGTGCTCAACAAATGTTAACATGTTGAGCATTTACTGTGTCAATTTAGATGGCTCAGTTCTCTTTGAATTTATATCTTTACCACCCTAGCACATCTGAACTTAATCCTTATTGATTGATTCCTGAAAGCAAGGTTTGAAGAGCTAAGGGGCTATAGCATCTACCAGTGCCATACCATCTGACAAGCAATTATTAAGCACCTTCTAATTTCTAGGGGCAGCTAGACAGTGCAGTGGATAGAACACTGGGCCTGGAGTCAGGAAGACCTAGTTCAAATCTGGCCTCAGACACTTACTAGCTTGTGTGGCCCTGGGCAAGCCACTTAACCCTGTTTGCCTCAGTTTCCTCATCTGCAAAATGAACTGTAGAAGGAAATGGCAAGTCACCTCAGTATCTTTGCCATGAAAACCCCAAATGGGGTCATGATGCATTAGACATGACTGAAATGACCGAACAACAATTTCTGGGTGTTGAGAATGCAGAGATAAAACAAAAGAAGTTCCTGCCCTCATGGAGCTTATACTCCATCATCCAACAAATGTTAATTGAGTTCTATGCTTGGCATGTAGTAAACACTTAATAAATGCTTTATCATCCATCCATCTATCTATCTATCCATCCATCCATCCATCCATCCATCTATCCATCCATTCCCTGCTCCTTTGAGAGTAGGTAGATAAAGATGATGCCTTTGCAAGGCACTGGGGAATATAGGGTATTAAGCTGGAGTGATGGAATGACACAGTGAGTTGGCAGTGGCTTGGGGGAGGGTTCACTGTATCAAACAGCGGACCAACCAAGAGATTCCTTGGGTCTAAGAGCTTTTCACAGGGAGTCACACATTTGCAGCTTCATGAACACTTGCTACTTACTCTGCCAACTTCTTGAAGCCAATGGCTCTCCTTTTTGTGGGGGTTCCATTAGTACCTTTCCAGACATGGGTGTTCCATGGATCTGGCTGGAAAAAGAGGGAGACAGTCAGTACAAAGGAAGAATGTAGTGGAAGCCAGTGCTGCCCATTATTAAGTTGACCTTGTCTAACTGAATCCCAAACCATTAAAAGTCCAAGAGTTGGGAGGCACTGAAAACTGGGGATGAGATGGGAATGAGGGTAGGAATGAGGTCATCTCACATCCTGGGCCATCTCCAGTTGTCCTCATTGATATCTGGCCACTGAACCCAGATGGTGCTGGAGGAGAAAGTGAAGCTAATGACTTTGCACAGCCCTCCCTCACTCAATCCAATTCACTTGCAAGTTATGGCATCATCTTCCTGATGTCAGGGTCCTCCTCAAGAGTGAAGGACAAACCACACAACGCAACAGAGGTAGGGGGCAGGACCTGGTACTCGAAGGAGGGTGTGAGTCGATAGTTGAGCATTTCCTGGTGGAAGACAGGTGTGATGCTGCCAGACATGGGCGGGACGATCCAGACCCAGTCAGCTGGACATCCCCCTCGGCAGCGGTACTCATTCTCCATGTGCTTGATGAAGGACTCAGTAGCCGAATGGTGGTCAACAATTGTCACTTTGTCACTCTATGGGAGGAAGAGCGGAGGTGACATGTGAGTGGATCTGGGGATCAGCATAAGATCATAGAAACAGAGCTAGAAGGACCCTTCAAGGCTATGGAGTCCAAACCCCTCATTTTACAGATGGAGAAAAATTAAGTGACTTGCTGAGGTTCACACAGCTATTCAAGTGTCTGAGGTGGGGTGTGGATCCAGGTCTTACTGACTCTGAGATAAGCGTACCATCTACAATATTATGTTGTTCAGTTGTGTCCAATTCTTTGTGATCCCATGGACCATACTGTCCATGGAGTTTTTTTTTTGGCAAAGATACTGGAGTGATTTGCTATTTCTTTATCCAATAGATTAAAGCAAATAGAGGTTAAGTGACTTGCCCAAGCTCACACAACAATAAGTGTCTGAGGCCAGATTTGAACTCAGGTCTCCCTGACTTCAGGATCGGTGCTTTATCCACTGAGCCATCTAGCTGCCTCTACAGTACCATACTGCCTTGAAATCTTTCCAAAGAGCAGGGAAGAACATGCACCTATGACTTTCAGTACTGAAAAAAACAATCCTTTCCCCAACCTGTGACTTCTTCTTGTAGGCCATGGGCTATTCTAGTCCCTCTTACCCATAGAAAACAGTGGGATTGGCTGATTTGGGTCCACGACTTATGACACTCAATAATTTTCGTCTACTTGAAATAGACTAGATTTACTTCCAGAATCCTATAGTCTATAAGTTGAAGGGATTTCTTAGAAGCTCCACTTTTCTTTAAGGCTCAACTCAATGGCCCTGGAGTCAGGAGGACCTGAGTTCAAATCCATCCTCAGATACTTGTCACTTATTAGCTGTGTGACCCTGGGCAAGTCACTTAATCCCGATTGCCTTAAAAAAAGACTCAACTCAAGAATCACTTGTTACATGAAGCTTTTCCTAAACCCACCGAAGGCCAGATCCCTCTCTCCCTAAATTACCTCATAGTCATTTTGTATATATACTGTATATATTGTCTTCCCTAAATAGGATGTAAGTTTACTGGAAGACAGGGACTGTTTCATTTCTGTCTTTACCTTTCCAAAGTTTGTCACAGTGCCGGGCACAGTGTAGGAGATTGACAAATGCCTGTTGACTGACCCTATCATCTATACCAGGCTGGTCCTGAAAATGTTAGCAATAGAGAACAAAAAGTCCCACATGGGGGCTGACTTGGTCCTCATCCTATATAGGCTTGGGGGAAAGGGGTAACAAACCACAAACTATTGGCCCTGGTCCATTGACCCGATTGCTCCAAAGGCCATCGCTGGGCCTGGCCTTTGTGTGACTGAAGGATTTGAGTACTAAAGCCAGGTTCCAAGTCTATTTGATCTCTCCCACTCGGTTACCTGGAAACTGTAAAGCACAGCAATGTTGATCTCCACCAAGGCTTGGTCCTTCCACAGGGAGGAAGTTTTCCTCATGTCCAAATTCATCTTTTTGGCCACTTCCTGGAAGAAGATGGAAATGTACATTCAATGACTGGCTGAGGGAAGGAGCAGTATGGTATAATGGGGAAAATACAATGGACTTGGTGTCAGAGGTCTGGAGTTCAAATCCTAGCTCAATCACTTATCACCTGTGCACCCTTGAACAAAATACTTCACCTTTCTACCCACTAGTGAAGTTCCCTCATCTAGAAAATGAGGGTTTTGGGCAAGATTGCCCCTAAGGTCCTTTCTAGTTTGGAATCTGTGAATCTCTCTGGGGTTTCATTTCTGAGCCTCCATTTTCTCATCTGTGAAGTGAGGAAGGGACTTCTAAGGGTCCCTTCCAGCTTTAAATTTAGTGTTCTATAGTCTGAGATGACTCCTTCTTTGGGCATCAGGCTGAAGGAGAAGATGAATAGAATTACATTGATTCAATTAATTCCTCTCCTAGAAAGAGATGTCCTTGAATTTCCAGAGTATGAATGATTTGCCTCTCAAACTCAGTCAATGCATTAAAAATTAATTACTTTTTTGTTACATTTTAAGTTCCTGTCTCCTTCTTTCCTTTCCTCCCTCCCTCCCCACTCCACACTAGAGAAGGCCACCATTTGACATGGATTTATAAATATGTGTCAAACCATACTATGCATACTTCTATTTATCAGTTCTTTCTCTGGAGGTGGATAGAATCTTTCTTCATGGGTCCTTTGTAATTGATGTGAGTATTTATAATACTCAGAATAACTTGGTTGTTCACAATTATTCTTCAAACAATATTGCTACTGCCTTAGACAACATTTTCTTGGTTCTGTTCATTTCACTTTTCATTATTTCATGCAAGTCTATCCATGTTTTTCTAATGATAGGTATAATCAAAACATAAGGTCTCACTTAAGCTAACGAATGATCATAGTTTGCAACAAGAATGTAAAGAGGGTTCTGGATAAAGTGAGTTTGCCAATTCATTCTACCCTGCTAGGGCAAGGAAGGCAGCTTGGTTCCAGGTCATTTGACCAAGAAAATGGTGGACTAGACATTTATTCCAGTCCTTACTGACTCAAAAAAAAAACCAAAAACAAACAAACCCCCGAAGAGTAATTATCCACTGGAGGTAGAAAGATTGCAGCACGATCCACAGCCCAAGAAAGCAAGAAGGCCAACAAGGTAACAACAGTGGAAAGAAAATGAACTAACCTTTACTACTCTCACTTAGTGAAGAGAGCAACACTAGGAGGGTGAATTATACCATCAGAGCAACAGAATAAAGAAAAAAAATAGCTTTCAAAGATTTGTGAACTCTGATCAATGCAATGGTCTGCCGTGACTCCAGAGGGCCAATGATGAAGCAGGCTACCTATCTCATAACAGAGAAAGGCTGGATGAGCTATGCAGAAAGACACATGCTCTTTTGGACACAGCCAGTGTGGGAATTTGCCTAGGCATAGTTGTTATGAGGGTTTTGTTTTTGTTTTGTTCAATGAGATAGAAGGAAGAAAAAATAAATTTCTGTTAGTTGAAATAAAGTTTAATTTAAAAAAGACTTAAGAACCCTGATCAATTAATCATTAATGATCATTGATCATGATTCCAGAGGACTGAGGGTAAAGCATGTTAACTACCTCCTGACAGAGAGGGGCTAAGGATGCATGGGGCAGAATGATATATACATATATATAGGGCATGGCCCATGTGTAGTTTGTTTTTCTTGATTATGCATATTTGTTATGAGGCAGTAAGGTGGGACAGTGAATGGAGAGCTGGACCTGGAGCCAGGAGTCTAGCCCTGGATACTTACTAGTTGTGTGTGACCCTGGGCAAGTCATTTAAATTCTGTTTGTCTCAGTTTCCTCCTATGTAAAATAGGAATAATAATAGTACCTAGCTCCCAGGGTTGTTTTAACCCTGGGCAAGGCATTTAACCTGTCTGTCTCAGTTTCCTCATGGGTAAAATAAAGGTAATAATTTACTTCCAAGGGTTGTTGTGAGGATCGAGTGAGGTAATATTTGTAAAGTTCTCTGCAAATGTTAAAATGCTATGTAAATGCTAGTTATTATTATTATTTTCTTTTTATTGTTGAATGAGGCGAGAGAAGTGAGAGGGAGGAAAAAAGAATGCTTGTTAATTGGAAAAAATAAAATTATAAAGAAAAAACCACTCTCATTTGGCATTCCTTCTTGACCAGCCCCCACACTCCATCAGGCACACAAACCAGCCCGTTGATTGGTGCTTGAGATCTACTCAGAGATTTCCCTCTTACTGTATGAACTCTACCAGAGCAGCCCTGGCTCCTGCCTGTCCCCTACCCCATTAGTTTCCATTATGTTACTGCTCAGATGCCACCTGTGATTCAAAGACTTCTCTGATCCCACCTAGTATTCAGAGTTCTTTTCTCTCCTAAAAGTATCTTGTAATTATTTATTTTGCATACATGCTATCTGTAGATTTGGAAGGGACCCTAGCAACCATCTATTCCAACTCAGTCATTTTACAGATGAGAAAACGGGCACTAGGAAGTTAAATGACTTAGCTAAGGTCACACAAGTACTACGTCGCAGAGCAGAGATCTAAACACAGGTGCTCGAACACTATACTCGGTAGTGGTACTCGTCCAGCGTTACAGTGGTATTCGTCCAGCATTCTTGCCACTATACCCTGCTATGTCCTAACAGGAGGACGTGGATTCTTCGAGGGGAGGGAGGGACTCATCACTTTTGTCTTTGTATCTTCAGTGTCTTACATCTTGTACTTTTGAGGGGAGTCTGAATCTGTGGTTTCACCTGCAGCACCAACTCTCTTTACCAATACAGATTGGCAACTGTTCTGTAACTTATACCCTGAGAGTTGTCTGGGCCATTGAGAAGTGAAGCGATTTGCCCAGAGTCATGCAGCCAGGATGAGTCTGAAATGGGACTGGACCTTAGGTTTTACTGAGACTGGTTCTCTGTCTACTATGGCATTCTGCCTCCCTGATCCAACCCCCACTCAGCTATCAAAATGATTTTCCTAAAGTACAGGTCTACCCATGTCACTCCCCTATTTAATTAACTCCAATTGCTCCCTATTGCCTCTAGGATCAAATACAAAATCCTGTTTGGCTTTGAAAGCCCTTTATAACCTCGTCCCTTCCTACCTTTCCCGTCTTCTTGCATCTTACTCCCTGACATGCCCTGGTGACACTGGCCTCCTGGCTATTCCACGAACAAGCCATCTTTTGCCTCCAGGCATTTCCTCTGGCTGTCCCTGATTTCTGGAATGCTCTCTCTCCTCAACTCCACCGGCAGGCTTCCCTGGCTTTCTTCCAATCCCAGCAAAAATCCCACCTTTTACAGGAAACCTTGACCAGCTCCTCTTAATTCTAATGCCTTCTCTCTGTTAGTTATGTCCTATTTATTTTCCCTTTTCCTCTCTATATAAATATTTTCCTATTTATTTCCTGTTCCTGTATATATCTTGTTTGAACATATTAGTCTCCCCCAATAAATTGTGGGCTCCTTGAGAGCAGGGACTGTCTTTACCTCCTTTCTTTTTTTTTTTGTATTCCTAGTTCTTAGTAGAGTTCTTGGAACACTCTAGGCACTTAATAAGTGCTAATTGACTGACTGTCTTGTATGTAGTAAGTACTTAATAAAATTCGTGTTGATTTAAGCTGAATTGACTGTTTCTATGGAGCCACTAGCAGACATTTATAAGCACAAACAACCTGAAGTTCTGAGTTTTCCTTGTGGTTCTGCCTCATGTTTGCTGTGTGATCAGAAGTAGATTACTCAGCCTCTCTGTTCATCTATTCCCTCTTGTGAAACATGGCACAATAGTAGGCTTTGGTGAAGAAAAGCTTTTGAAGATGGAAACAGATCAATCCCCCATGCATCTACCAAAGCTCACCTTGAAGATGTAACTGTCCTTTTGCCCTAACCAACAGATTGGTCTCCCAGGGAGGGAATTAGACCCCCTGCTGAGAAAAGCTGGTAGCAGAGAAACTCGCAGTAAGCACTTCTACTTTTCAGAAGGGAGATGGAAAGAGGAACAAATTCTTGGGTTATTCTCACACATGCAAGGGGTGAAGAAATCCCAGGAGGTGCCCTGTCTGCTGCTTTAAAGAAACTGGTTTTTTTTTTTTTGGTGGTGGTGGGGTGTTCATAGGGCTGTGCCAAATCTCCGGGGACTCCAGAGACTGCTCCATAAGCAGTCTCAGCTTCTAAGCTCCCAGAATCCTTTGTATGATGATACATCCTGGTGACTTCACTCCCCACCCTTCTCATCCCCAGCTGGGGATGTTACCTCGAGAATGTTGTATCGGGAGTTGTCGCAGTAATCACGGACACCAATCTCGGTGCCCATATACCAGCCGCTGAATGGGCAAGCACTGAACTCGAGGCCTCCAATCTCCAGGAGCATGCTGGATACGGCCGGCAGACCATACCACTTCAGCCCCAGCTCTTTGAACCATGTGAACCTGGGGATGACAACACAGGGGGCCGATTGAGCCAAAGATGCCCATCGGGCAGGAGGAGGGATCCCTCAGGATGTCAGCTGCCGCCAGCTACCAGATGGGCATATTTCTAGGATGGAAAGCCATTAGCTATCATTTTCAGGGGCTCTGGGTATTTTAATTCCCTTCCCTGGATTCTAAAAGTCCAATTATGAGTCTTTCATGCACTCACTAACCCTCAGTGAACTCTGCCTCTTTTTATTTCCTATAGTCTTTCCACATAATTTACCACCTAATTGCATGTTGTCTTATGTGGTTCTAATAATAATAATAAAAATAATAGTTAATATTTATAAAGCACTTACTATATACCAGGTACCATGCTAAGTGCTTTACAATTATTATCTCATTTAATCCTCACAACAATCCTGGGAGGTAGGAGTAATTATTATAATCATTTTACAGATGAGGAAACTAAGGCAAACAAGTGACTTGCTCAGGGTCACATAGTTCCCATAGTTCTTATATTATCACCTCAAGGCTAATGTAGAGATGCATGGTGAAAGTAAATAGTCTGGGGCACATTAGCAGTGGTGAGTAGCATGTGGCAGAACAAGAAAAGAAGATGGTCTAGTCATTGATCTCACCTTTGCTCCTTAGAATCACCAATTCCCTTCAAAGTATAGTTTGGGTGTAGCCTTCTACACAAGACCCTTCCTGATCCCTCTGTATATTAACTCAATTATATTATTCTCTCTCTCTCTCTCTCAATATGTATTACTGTCCATGTTTCACTCCCCAGTAAAATGTAAGCTCCCAGAGGGTAGGGACTTTCATTTTTGTCTTTGTATCCCCAGAATCTAACCAGCGATTTGTATATAATGGATGCATAAGAAATATTTGTTAATTGAATTGAATGCACGGAGAGCAAATGTGGAAAGCCCAAGTGCTGAAAGGCAGCTATACAATATTGACATCTAGAAGAAGGCTTCCAGCCCATTGGATAGACACTCCTGTGGAGTATTTGTGGGAAGGCAAAGACAGAGTCAAATAGGATGGGCTGCAATCTCCACCGCTGGACCCTCATTGATGAATGTATTGAAGAACTCCAGGGTTATTCTCCTACAATGCATTTGAGTCCCAAGAGTTATAACTAGGGTGGGGGACCTGGGGCTTTGTCCCAGGTTGTGCAACATTTGGGGAGGATATGCTTTCTTTCCTTGATGGTCTTCCTATAGATGATAGCATACCATGTTTGGTGCTGTTGAGTTTGTAAGTTGGCTGAAATGGGAATTGGAGGTGTGAGCTCCCTTCTGATGAGGTCCTGCTCTGCTCCTTCCTCTTATAAGAGCTTCACCAGGACCCTGGAAAGCAGCCTTGGCATGTACAGTGGTTTCTATTTCCTCTCCATGAGGTAACATCTCAGGGTCTCTCCCCTCATGGGGTAGTATTTCTTGAGGAGATCTCTGAGCTCTCTTCTGCTATCTCCATGCTCTTGCCTGAGATATTAGAGTTTTTAGTTATCTATCTATCTATCTGTCTGTCTATCTATTCCTTAACTCTATCTATCCATCTCTCTCTCTCTCTCTCTCTCTCTCTCTCTCTCTCTCTCTCTCTCTCCCTTTTTCTCTATCATCTCTCTAACTATCTGCCTTTGTCTTTATCATCTATGTCTGGCTCTCTATATGCTTTTGTCTCTGTCATCTGTTTATCTATCTGTGTCTGTCTGTCTATCTGTCTATCTACCTAACTACTCATCTACCTACCTTTGTCTCTATGATTTGTTTGTCTGTCTAACCATCTCTCTCTCTCTCTCTCTTTCTCTCTCTCTCTCTCTATCATTTATATCTCTCTCTACCTTTGTCTCTATATCTGTCTGTTTGACTATTTGCCTTTGTCTCTATCATCTGTCTGTCTGTCTGTCTACCTATCACATCCCCAACAAGAGGATAGACACCTCCATTTTCCATTAGTACTTGCTTGGGAGTGGGATTGGTACAGAAAGCAGAAGGTGTGGGCACAGGTATGGTAAAATTAAGGAAAGAGCTGGTCCCCATGTCATGCAGTGAATACTTATTGGCTTGATTTAGATCAAGTGTTAATGTCTCTGAGTCTCAGTTTCCTTATCTGTAAAACAGGTATAACAATACTTGCAATCCCTGCTTCCTAGAATTGTTGACAGGCTCCAGTGAGGCAAGGTTGGAAAATGCTTTGTATGTGTTCATTAGCATTATTACCCCCTGGGAATAAACTCCACCCTATTCTGGTACTGGAGGCTGGAGACACTGCCCCGGAATCCTTCAGTCTATCTATGAGAAGGGATTAGGAGGCCTGGGAGATGGGGACTAGAGAGGTAGCTGGGTAAAGGGTACTCTCTCACCCTGCTGGCAGACAGGGTATTTATAAATGCTGCCCCTTTCCCTGGGCCAACTCACCTGGGATGTCTGATGGGCACTTCCAAAACCAGCTCTGGAGGAATCTGGAATAGCTCAGGGTCATTGCCATTGGCTTGGAGCAGGAGTGGCAAGACATCAAAACGCCCTCTCGGAGGCTTCCAGCCTTGCTGAATGCAGATCTGTAACAAAAGGCCAGGCTTGGGTTACTCAGCTGTGTCACCTGCCTCCTGGGCACCATGGACCAGGAAGGAAGAGGTGGGGGAGAAGGCCCTATGAGGAGCAAATGGCAGAGTCTTGGCACTCCTTCATTCTTGGGGATCCTTGGTGTTGAAGATGTTAAGCATCTATGATCCAAACCAGACAAAAAGATGGAGAATGGATGGGGTTGCTGTGTGCCTGCCCACCTCCATTCCCAAATAGGTGGAGGTTCAGATGGTACTCACATCTGTGAACTCCACGTTGGCGGGATCTCCTAGGATGCTGCCATCAGGCTGCTTATAGCCTGCATATCTGATGAGCTGTGAGTTCCAGACTCTGAAGTCATGCTTGCCATCTGTCCGCTGGGGAAATATGGTGATAGCAGACCTGGAAAGGGGGGAAGAGGGTGCCAGAGGTGAGGATGGGTCTGTGCTCAAGGATTAGGCTTTGGGAGATGAAGCCTGGCCAACAGGTGTAGAGTCATTCTAGCACTGCCACTTAGTAACTGTGTGACCCTGGACAAATCCTTTCCCCTCTCTGGGCCTCAGTTTCCTCACCTGTAAAATGAGAGGGTTGTACAAGATCATTTCTGAGGTGCTTTCCAGCTTTAAATCTATAAACCTGTGATCCATCTTCCCCATAACTTGGGCCAATGAATTCTAGATCAGTGCTTAGCAGGGCTAGTAAGCTAGCTGTTGTCACAGTGGTCCTCTTGAACTACCCAAGCACTTTAAGGCACTGTGGCCTTGGGCAGTCCCTTTTAAAAAAAAAATTAAAGACTCTTATAGAGCTTTATTAAGAAGGACCCTGGGCTTGGAGTTGAAGAGATCTAGGGTCGAATCCTATTCTGACCTATGTGACTGTGACATACTTTTTCACCTCTCTGATTCTGTTTCCTCATCTGTAAAATGGGGGCAATAATATTTGCACTGTCAGCCTAATAGTGCTATTTTCATGAAAGTACAATATAATCCTTAAAGTGTATATATAAAATCAATCCCCCCCTTTTGGATCCTGGAATTATGCTCTCATCAGTGTAGGGTAGCTTCTGGTGTGGAAAACTCCCTCCACAGATGCAGAGTGACAACTGCCTCTATAGTCTTCAAGGCAAGTTCTTGGCATAGTACACAGAGTAGCAGATTTGGAGGCAGGAAGACCTGAATTCAAATCTAACCTCTGATGCTTATTAGCTGTGTGACTCTGGATAAGTCACCTGCTTCATCCTCAGTTTCCTCATCTGTAAAATGGGCAATAAGCACAGTTCTTACATTAATAAATGCTTATTGAAATGCTTTGTGCTGTGCCCTGTGTTATAGGGAGAGGGGTTGGACCTTTGATTACTCTAGTATAGGGAATTCCCAGGGGAGGAAACTCCCTCCACCAATAGAGATCAGCACCTTTTTCGCAATTTGTCCTAGAGAGTTGTTAAGCTAAGAGCAGGGTTATTAGAGGATCAGAAAAGATAGTGGCATTTTACAAACTCAAGAGTGTAACAGAAATGTAGGGTATTATTAGCAAGCTGTCTGGGGCATTAAGAGCCTAAGTCAAAGGGTCACTCGCGCAGTGCTCTATCCACTAAGATACCTAGCTGTCCTAGAAGTTGGGTTATTACTTGTTGATTTGGGATTCCTTTTGTGTATGGGTTGGCGCCATAGTGCACACAGCACCAGGCCGGGAGTCAGGAAGACTCCTCTTTGTGAGTTCAAATCCAGCTGCACACACTTCTGGCTGTGTGACCCTGGGCAAGTCACATAACCCTGTTTGCCTCAGTTTCTTCATATGTAAAATGGGCTGAAGAAAAAAATGGCAAAGCAGTCCAATACCAAATAGGTAACTTTGCTTTAGGGAGCTGAGCCCATGTGTACTGGACTTCAGAAAATGATACGGTTATCATGGGCAGAATGCAGAAGAAACATGCCTTTCTAATAGAGGAATAAATACAGGGTTATCATTTGTGGCTCTACTATCCTTTCTGGGGAGTGGCAACTGGGTGGTGCAGTGGTTAGAGCCTTGGACTTGAAGTAGGGGAGACTGAGTTCACATCTGAACTCAGACACTTATTAGCTGTGTGATCCTGGGCAAGTCACTTGTCCTCTGTCTCAGGGGCATCATATATATAAAGGGAATAATAATAGCACCTAATTCCCAGGGTTGTTGTGAAGTATCAAATGACATAGTATTTGTATACCTCTTTAAAAACCTCTTTATAAAACCCTAAAGTGCTATCTAAATCCTAGCTATTATTATCAAGACACTCCCTCCTCTCAGTATGACCTATAATCTTTTGCCTTTGTTGGATAAATCACTTCCTTTCTCTGGAAAGTTTTGTCATCTGTAAAATGGGTAATCTTAGCACTGTAGGATTTAAAGTAGAAAGGGCCAGGGGTTCTTATTTTTTCTGTGTTCCTTTCCCAGAATCATGTTTTTAAATGCACAAAATCAAACACACAGGATGATAAAGGAAACTAATTATATTGAAATACAATTATTGGGGCAGCCAAGTGGTGCAGTGGATAGAGTATTGGCCCTGGAGTCAGGAGGACTTAAGTTCAAACCCGGTCTCAGACACTTATTAGCTGTGTGACTCAAGATAAGTCACTCAATCCTGAGCCTCCAAAAAAAACTCTAAACAAACAAAGAAAGAAAAACATTTATCATTTTTCTTTTTTTTTTGTTGGGCAATGGGGGTTAAGCGATTTGCCCAGGGCCACACAGCTAGTAAGTGTTATGTGTCTGAGGCCAGATTTGAACTCAGGTCCTCCTGAATCCAGGCCTGGTGCTCTATGCACTGTGCCACCTAGCTGCCCCCAGAAAAACAATTATCAAAAATATTTTTAAAAAATATTCTCTGTACTTTGTATCCTTTCATATAAAAATTGAATGAAAAAAAATACATTCATGTACCCCAGGTTAAAAACCCTTGGTTTAATCTAACTAAATTTCATAGGAAGGGAAGTCCCTCTGGATGGGATACCATGATTTCAGAATTCTTGAGGCTGAGAGAGCTTCATTCATGGAGGAAAGTCTTTGGACTACCCTACCCAGGAAGCGGTGTTAGCTCAGCAGTATGGTAACATCACCTAGTGTGCACACTAATTGAGTTTTGAGAAAAGGAGTGTTGTGGGGGTGGCAAAAAGTGGGATGTAGGGGCAGCTGAGGGAGACAGCAGACAGGAGAAATGGCGATTATGATCTGAGCATCAGCACCCAATCCAGACTTTGATGTTGATATTTTTATAGACGAAGAAATTGTAGGGGTTGGACGAGAGGGCTTCTAAGGTCCCGTACAAAGAATATCTCCTATACGATCTAGCCATTGTTCTGCCCCATGATATTGTACGGAGTAGGGCCAGACCCTAGCAAATGTATCGGCCCCATGATAACTCTATACAGTACCCTGCCATCAAAAGGATTCACTCAGACAGCTGAGCAGACACAGCCAAGTCAGAGATCTGAGCAGAATTAAGGGAACAGAGAAACCACTTAGCCCAACTAAAGACTTTCTAATCAGATGCTTCTGTAATCAGTTAGCATCTTTCAGGCAAGTCCAGATGATGGTTTCATGCCTTTGGGACATCTAAATAGAGAGGCATTTAACTTTTTAATAGCAACTCATGTTTCTATAATGCTTTGAGGTTTACAAAGCAGTTTCCTAACAATAGCCTTGTACATGACAGAGGACCAGCATTATTATCCCCATTTTATAGATGAAAAAACTGAGAATCAGAGAGATTAAGCTAAGCTAACACAGGTCACCAGAGGCAGAGTAAAAACTCAAACCCAGATTTCTGGATTCAAGTCCAATTTTCCTTCTATTACACAACGAAACATGTTCTGTTTTTCTAGCTCAGCATCCCTTCTGAGCTCACCTGAGGTTCCCTTTGTTTGTGGCATACTTGACATGATTGCAGATGTAGTTAAACATCCCGTGGGCTGTGGTACAGTCTCGTGCATCAAACACCTGAAACAAAAGCATTGTAGAATGATTTTCTTCTTCTCTCTCGATTCCTTCAACCCAGACCTACCCTTTTATTCTATTTTTTTAACCTTTTTTTCCCCTTAAAGATTATTTTCTAATCATTATTCTCATTATTATGCATTTTAAACATCAGCATAAGACCATAGGACTGAGCAGTGCAAAGGACTACTGATTATTATTTATCATTTATTATACTGTTCAAATCTAACTTTGTGTGGCTAGAGATTGTTTGAAACTAGAATATTGCCCTGACAAATTTCTAGTCACATAAAGTTAGATTTGAACAGTATAATAAATGATAAATAATCCATATGCCTTCAAAGATGAACTGGTCTATAGAAGAGTAACTTGACCAATAAAACGAAGGAAATGTATTTTGCAAGCATTACAAAAGATCATGGATTTAACACTGAAACAAACCTTTAGAGATCAACCTTCTCATTTTAAAGATGAGGAAACCAAGGCCCAGAGAGATTAAATGACTTGTCTAAGACAATACTACTACTAATTACAATCGTCATAATAATGGTAATTAGCACTTATATAACATGTTAAAGTTTGCAAAGCACTTTATAAATATCTCATTTTATCAATTTTGGGAGGTTGGTGTTATTATTGTTCTCATTTTACAGATGAGGAAACTGAGGCAGACAGAGGTCAAGTGACTCGCCTAGGATCATACAGCTAGCAAGTGTCTGAGGTAGGATTTGAACTCAGGTGTTCTTGGCTACAGGTCCAGAGTTCTAAACATCTCTGTCACCTGGCTGTAGGTATGCCCTTAGAAACATGCCAATCACTCCTGTTCGGTCTCCTCTTTGACTTTATTTTATTTTGTTTTTTAGTTGATTTATCCCTGTTCGTGGACATTGGTTTAAATCTTACCTCTGCCACTTGAAGATATGTGACTTTGGTTTAAGTCACTTTCCCGCTCTGGGTCCTCGGTTTTGTCATTTGTGAAATAAGGAGGTTGGACTCATTGACCCCTAAGGTCCTTTCCCTCCCTAAATCTATGAGCCTCCATATTAAATTTCCTTCCATTATATATGTGATCATAAAATCATAGCTCTAAAACCAGGAGAGACCTCTGAGGCTGTCTAGCTCAACCCCCTCATTTTACAGAGGAGGAAAATGAGGCCCAGAGAGGGGAAGGGACTGGCCCAGAGAGGGGAAGGGACTTGCCCAGGGTCACAAAGCTGAGATTTGGACCACACTTCTCCAACCTCCCATCTAGCAGCCTTTTCCCTGAACTGCTCCATTGTCATAGTCAGTCAGTGTTTCCTCTGTCTCGGTTCTGCTGTCTTTGCCTCATTTTATTTCATAAAGTTCTTTCTAGATTTCTTTTTATTCCTCATAGTAATTTATTTTAAAAGAATCAGATTAGAGTATTCCATGACCTTGATATAGACATAATTTGTTCGACCATTCAGACTTAACCTTCTAGATGGCCTGGAGCCATGTTGGAGCACTTTCTTATTATAGTCATCCAATGTAAGGTCCCATTGCTCATTCCTCTCATCATCTCCCATTGTAATCCAGATCTGAGGAGGGAAGGAGGAAGGGAGAAGGACAGGCAGAGGGAGAAGGAGAGGGAGAGGGAGAGAGAGGAGAGGAGGGAAGAGAGAAAGAGAGAAGACAGAAAAAGAGGGGGGGAAGAAGAGGGAAGAGAGAGAGATAAAAGAGAGAGAAAGAGGGGAGGGAGAGAAGAGGGAAGCAAGAGAAGGAAGAGAGAGAGATGGGAGGGAGGGAGAGAGAGAAAGAGAGAGAGAGAAGAGAAGAGAGAGGGGGAGAGAGAAAGAGGAGAGGAAAGTGTATTGTGTGTATATGAGAGAGAAAACGAGAGACAGAGACAGAGACAGAAAGACACACACAGAGATTGAGAGACAGAGAGACAGAGATATGGAGAGAGACAGAGAAACAGAGATAGGGAGAGGCTAACACACACACACACACACACACACACACACACAGACTTAGCACTCACCTGCAGCTTGGACCACTGGATCCTGCCCACACAGCGAGAAGCATTTCTCCAGGCATGTTTAGCTCCATAGATCAGCTCTGTGTCCTTCAGCTGGTAGGTACTGGTGGTATCTATCTCCCTGTTCACTTCTTCCAGTCTCTCTGTGTGGGCTTTGGAGCCAAATCTGAGTGGGAAGGACAGATGGGGGGGAGGAAGGGGGAAGTCACTGATATGAACTAGTAGTGGCAGGGTTTACACGTGGTGTCCAAAGATGCACAATGTTTTGGCCTCAGTTTAACCAGAGACTAGAAAATCAGAGACATTGAAGGTCTCACATTGGTTAGCAGCTGACTATTCTTCACCCTAGCCACCCCCCCTTTCTTCAATACTTTAAGGATCTGTAATGTTGTTGGGTTTGTTGGAGAGGCACTGTGTTACAGTGGCTGGACAGTTGGCCTCAGAGTTGGAAATCCTGGTTCAAGTTCTGCCTCCAATGTATGTGGTTTGTGTCATCCTGGGCAAATAACTTAACCTCAGGTGCTGCAGGCAACAATCTTAAAACTATAAGTTGTAGAGCAGGAGCTCATCCCTGTTGGTAGAAGAAATTTCCATACCAGGAGTTACTGATCCTGATAACATTTCAGTCCAAAAATTTTGTTGGTGTAAGTACTCCTCTCCCTTCCCAACTCAGATTGCAGTCCCTCTATATTTTAGTCTTTGGGAGCTGGGGTGATTGAAAAATTAATTACTCCATGACCTACTTGGGGATTAGGTAGCTTCTCAGACCAGCTTGGTTGGTCTCCAGACCCTAAATATACAGTTCATCACTAGGCCTTCACTCAGACCTGACAGAACTTCTGTCTCACTGGCGTAGATTTCTAGAACTGGGAGTCATCTGTACGTCATAATGAGGCATCGAAGGAGGATGTCAAAGAGTAGAAAGTATCTCTTCTACCTGATAGAAAACCCCATGATCCCCAGGGTTTTTTGCTTTCTGTCTTTCATTCATTCAACAACCATTTATTAAAACAAGAGCCCTGTGCTGGGGGAGACAACTTAGGTATGTAAGGTCTCTGTCCTCATGGAGCTTAACCATCAAGCCAGGGGATAAGACAACAACCCAGAACATTGCGTTAAGCACACCAGATAACATACAACTTTCACTTGCCTCTTTATAGATGAATAGTATTGATCAATGAACTCTTTGGCCAAGGGAAAGAGTTGTTCTTTTGTCCGGATATCCTCAGACTTCCGTATATGTTGGGAGGGGAACATGATAGAACCCATGCAAATCTGCCCGGTGCAAGCTGTGTTCTAGAGAGAAAGAAGAGAAACACAGTAAGGATTCAGCCAATGAAATATGGATAGTAAGTACTTTTGTGTGACTTGTCTTCTCTATTAGATTGTAAGTTCCTTGAGGGCAGGGACTGTCCTCTTCTCTTCTCTTCTCTCTCTCTTTTTTTTTGTTTTTTAGGCAATTGGGGTTAAGTGACTTGCCCAGGGTCACACAGCTAGTACGTGTCAAGTGTTTGGGCTAAGGCCAGATTTGAACTCAGGTCCTCCTGACTTCAGGGCTGGTGCTCTATCCACTGCATCACCTAGCTGCCCCACTCTTCTCTTCTCTTCTCTTCTCTTCTCTTCTCTTCTCTTCTCTTCTCTTCTTTTCCCTTCCCTTCTCTTTTCTTTTTTCTTCCTTCCTTTCCTTTCCCCAATGCTTAATCTTGCATTTGGCACATAGTAAATATGCAATAAGAACTTGTGGTCTGCTTGCCTGCCTATGGCCAAACTGAGGGCCTTGATGGTCGTGGAGGCAAATGCTTGGCTCCCTGGTTGATAAGCCAGATTTTAGCAGCATCAGCCAGCCTCACGAACTTGTCAAAGATAAGTTGATATGGTGGAAAGAACAAAAACAAACTTTCATCGTGGAGTCAGGGGTCTGGGTTTGAATCCTGGTTCTGAAATTTACTAGCTTAACATTCATGGTGGGTGAGTTTGAACTTCAGTTTCCCCATCTGCATAACAAGAATAATAATATTTCCTCAATCTACCTCTCAGAGAGAAAGGCTTTGCCAACTGCAAGGCACTACACAAATAAGCATTGTCGCCATTAGGATCATCAGAGCATAGATTTAGAACCAGAAAGAGCCTCAGGGGCCATCTGGAACAATTGCATCATTTTACAGATAATTTCACAAAGACAATTGAGTCCCAGAGAGGTTAAGATTTGCCAAAGGTCACACAGGGAGTAATCTGCACAGTCTAGATTAGAACCCAAATCAGAACTAAACTTGATGCCTTTTTCATTCTACCATGGTCATCCCATAAGGAGAAAAGGTTGTGTTAAGAGAGGTATATCATCCAGGAACATGGAAAGGAATTGTCTCTTTGGACTCTGCTCTGGTCATATTATACCTAGTCTGGAAGGACGTTTGTTAGTGATCATCTGGTCTGACTTTTTCATTTTACAAAAGTAGAAAAGTACAAAAAAAGCTTGATTTCCCCACTGAGGAGAAATTATTTGCCCACTATCACACAGCTAGTTAGTGGTAAAGTCTGTATGAGAATTCAGCTTCCTTTGTTCTCCTGGGCTTTTTGTACTATGCCACACTGATGCTGCTTGGAAGTGGTACTTGGTAACATTCTGGGAGCCATATTTGAGAAACAACATGGATAAGCTGGAGAATTTTGGAGGACAGTAACCAAGATGGTGAAGGCCCTCCAGTTTATGGCTCATGAAAATGGGAGGCAGTTTGGTACGGAGGAAAGAGCCTGGATTTGGAGTCAGAGGATCTGAGTTCAAACACTGGCCCTGTCACATACCACCAGGGTGACCTTGGACAAGTCATGCACTGTTCTTGGCCTCAGTTTCTTCATCTGTTAAATTAGATGACTCACAAGGTCTTTTTTTTTTTAGATCTTGATTTATGATCCTCTGAACTGGGGATGTTCAGCCTTGATAATGAAGACTGAATGGGGATTTGATAGGCATCCTTGAACATCTGAGGGTCTGCTGTGTGGAAGATGGATTATACTTGTTTTTTTAAAATAAATTTATTTATTTTTAGTTTTCAACATTTACTTCCACAAGATTTTGAGTTTCAAATTTTCACCCCGTCTCGCCCCTCCCCCTACCCCAAGATGGCATGCATTCTGAATACCCCTTCCCCTAGTCTGCTTTCCCTGCTATCTCTCCTCCCCTTTTCTTATCCCCTTCCCCTTCTATTTTCCTGTAGGGCAGGATCTATTTCTGTACCCCATTTCCTGTATTTCTTATTTTCCAGTTGCATGTGAAAACAATTTTTTAAACATGTGTTTTTAAAACTTTGGGTTCCAAATTTTCTCCCTTCCTCCCTCCCCACCCACCCTCATTGAAAAGGCAAGCAACTCAATATAGGTTATATATGTGCAGTTATGCAAAACACTTCCATAGTAGACATGCTGTGAGAAACTAACTCTATTTTCCTTAATCCTATCCTGCCCCCCATTTATTCTATTCTTTCTTTTGACTCTGTTCCTCCTCAGAAGTATTTGCTTCTGATTACCCCCTTTCCCAATCTACCCTCCTCTCTATCATCCCCCTACTCTTTTGTCCCCTTCCCTCCCTATTTTCCTGTAGGGTAAGACAGATTTCCATACCCAATTGAGTGTGTATGTTATTCTCTCCTTAAGTCAAATCCTATGAGAATAAGATTCACTCATTCCCTCTCACCTTCCCTGTTTCCCCTCCACTGTAAGAGCCTTTTCTTTTCTGTTTTTTTTTTTGTGAGATAATTTACCCCATTCTATCTCTCCCTTTCTCCTTCTCCTAGTATAATCCTCTCTCACCCCTTAATTTTATTCTCCAGATATGACCCCTTCATCTTCAACTCACCCTGTGTCCTCTATGTATCTATTTATCTATGTATCTATATCTTTATCTATCTATATCTTTTTTTTTTTAGGCAATTGGGGTTAAGTGACTTGCCCAGGGTCACACAGCTAGTTAAGTGTCAAGTGTTTGGTCTGAGGTCAGATTTGAACTCAGGTACTCCTGACTTCAGGGCTGATGTTCTATCCACTGCGCCACCTACCTGCCCATATCTATCTATATCTATCTATCTATCTATCTATCTATCTATCTATCTATCTATCTATCTATCTATCTACATATATACATATGTATAATTTTTTCCTCCAACTACCCTAATACTGACAAAAGTCTCATGAGTTACAAATATCATCTTTCCATGCAGGAATGTAAACAGTTCAACCTTAATAAGTCTCTTACAATTTCTCTTTCCTGTTTACCTCTTCATGTTCCACTTGAGTCTTGTATTTGAAGGTCAAATTTTCTATTCAGCTCTGGTCTTTTCATCAAGAATGCTTGAAAGTCCTCTATCTCACTGAATGACCATTTTTTCCCCTGACGGATTATACTGTTTTGCTGGGTAGGTGATTCTTGGTTGTAATCCTATCTCCTTTGCCCTCTGGAATATTATATTCCATGCCCTGTGGTCCCGTAATGTAGAAGCAGCTAAATCTTGTGTTATCCTGATTGTGTTTCTAAAATATTTGAATTGTTTCTTTCTGGCTGCTTGCAATATTTTCTCCTTGACCTGGGAACTCTGGAATTTAGCTACAATATTCCTTGGAGTTTTCCTTTGGGGATCTCTTTTAGGAGGAGATCGGTGGATTCTTTCAATTTCTATTTTGCCCTCTGGTTCTCGAATATCAGGGCAGTTTTCCTTGATAATTTCTTGAAAGATGATGTCTAGGCTCTTTTTTTGATCATGGCTTTCAGAGAGCCCAATAATTTTTAAATTCTCTCTCCTAGATCTATTTTCCAGGTCAGTTGTTTTTCCAATGAGATATTTCACATTATTTTCTAATTTTTCATTCTTTTGGATTTGTTTTACAGTGTCTTGATTTCTCATAAAGTCACTAGCTTCCAATTGCTCTATTCTAATTTTTAAGGAAGTATTTTCTTCAGTAATCTTTTGGACTTCCTTTCCCATTTGGCCAATTTCACTTTTTAGGGCATTCTTCTCCTCATTGGCTTTTTGGACCTCTTTAGCCATTTGGGTTACGCTATTTTTTAAGGTGTTATTTTCTTCAGTATTTTTTTGGGTCTCCTTTAGCAAGCTGTTAACTTGCTTTTCATGATTTTCTTGCATCATTCTCATTTCTCTTCCTAGTTTTTCCTCTACTTCTCTTACTTGCTTCTCAAAATCCCTTTTGAGCTCTTCCAAGGCCTGGGACTGATTCATATTTTTCTTGGAGACTTTGGATGTAGGAGCTTTGACTTTGTTGTCTTCTTCTGGTTGTATGTTTTGATCTTCTTTGTCACCAAAGTAAGATAATATAGTCTGACTCTTTTTGCGCTGCTTACTCATGATCCCAGTCAATTACTTGAGTTTTAAACTCTTTGTTAAGGTAAGAGTCTGCTTCCAATGTGAAGAATATACTGTCCCAAGCTTTGGGGGTTTATACAGCTGTTTTCAGAGGTACTTCTAGGGACCCATAAATTTTCAGTTCTTCCAAGGTGGTATGATAAGGAGTGGGGTATTTCCTCTCTGCTGCCACAATAAGCTCCACCAGGCCAGGGCTCCTCCTCCCCCTACAACCTCCCCTCAGAACTGTGACCCAGATCCAAGCACGGGCACAGCAAAACATTCTTGCCTTAGCACTGGCAGAGAGCTCCCTGCAATCCCCCTCTAATCAGCCACTTGAGTCTCCCTCAGTCTGTGGGCTGGGAGCTCAGGAGGCAGCTGCTGCCCCAGAGGCTGCTCTCAGGACTTGTGGCTGAGACCTAGCTCCTTCTTTCACTGCAGTCACAGACTTTTCCCACTGACCTCCTAAGTTGTCTTTGGTGTTCATGGGTTGAGAAGTCTGGAAGCTGTCACACCTTCCTGTGATTCAGTCCTCTGAGGCCTGCTCCAGGGTTGCTGTGGCCTGCATGCCCACACCGAACTGCGCTCCTCTCCCCACCCGGTGTGATATACCTTTCCGATCAACCATCCAGGTTGTCTTGGGCTGGAAATTTGTTTTGGTCTGTCTTTTTGTGGGTTCTGCTGCTTTAGAATTTGTTTAGAGCCATTTTTACAGGTGTTTGGAGGGGTTTGGGGGAGAGCTCAAGCAAGTCACTGTTCTCACTCTGCCATCTTGGCTCCGCCTGGATTATACTTGTTAAACCAAGTAGGTAGAACCAGGTGCAAGGGTGGGAGGGAGATATACAGAGGCAAGGTTGATATCAAGAAAAGCTTCCTAATCATTAGAGCTGTCCAAAATTGGACTGGACTGTCTCTTAACTTTGTACTGGGATATAATTGGAATGGGGGAGGCAGAGGATTTCCCTTTACTGAAATTCTTCCCACAAAGGCTGGATAACCACTTACTGAGGATGGATTTTTATTTTTCTATTTAAAAAAATTTTTTTTTGAGGATGCATTTTTAGGTATGGTTTGGATCAGACATCCTCCAAGGTACCTTTCCTGCTCTAAAAGTGTGATTCTATAAGGAGATTTCCTCCCTAGGGAGAGGAAGGAATTCTCTTAGGGCATCACTAAATGACATGTTGGGGGCTCTAACATAGCTCATTTAGCATAGCCAGAGGGGCAGACAGGGAGGCCCTTACTTTCTAAGAATAACTTACTCAATTACTGTCTCTATGGAATAGGGCCATGGTTACTGAACATTTCTTTCCCAGGACTGTGAAGCAAGGGGAGTTGAATTCTCATTGGGGCTCTGCCACTAACTACCTGTGTGATGCTGGGCAAATAATTTCCCTTCAGTGGGCCTCAGTTTCCACTTTTGTAAAATGAAGTGATAAGACCAGGTTATTCCTTAGGTCCTTAGGTCCTTAGGCTCAAACATGCTGTGATTTTATGAACCCACTCAGCAACTTCTTTCCTAAAATGTGGTACCCAGAACTGAGCACTGTGGTCTAGACATAGTTTGAGTTAGACAACAGAAGCAGTTGAGTGAAAGGTAAAAGAGATTGGTAGAAGTGAGTCCATAGGCAATAGGGAAGATTCTTAATTAGAATAATTAGAATTATCTCCCAGGGTTGTTTCAAGGATCAAATGAGATAATATTTGAAAAGTGCTTTGCAAACAATTAAAGCACTATATAAATGTTAACTGTGGTGATGATGATGATGATGATAATGATGATGATGATGATGATGTAGGAAGGTTAGTCTAGCAGAAAGTGTTGGGTGGAGAGAGAGAGGAAATAGGGAAATCAGTTAGGAGACAGGTTTGAAAACAGCCCTGGTGTAAGGTGATAATGGCTTGAACTAGGAAGATGGTGGTGTTGTTTGTCAGTTTTTGAAGAGGACCAATGACATAATGCGGTGATGTCTTGACTTGTGTATGAATTGGGTTTAAGCTAGTCAGAATTGCATAAAGCCCTCAGCCTCACTCTCTCTTCTAGAGTCATTGAAGTTCAGTGGCAGGACAAAAGTCAGGATGACTAGCGATGGCCTATGGTTCAGTGGATGACCTTGGGCTCTTTGATGCCTTATCAAACTCTAAGTGCTCCACAGCATCTGCTTCAGCCACCTTCATGGCCACTGAAACAAATTATTCTCATCCTCTCATTCTGCCAGGGGAAGTCTTCACCTGCTTGGGGTAGACATCCCCTCCCCCAACTCACCAATGGGTTTGAGGCCTGTTACAAGGAGGAAGAGATCCCTAGGCAGATATCTTATAAGGGCTTACCAAGGTGCTCTTGAGGTGGAGTGTGTCATTGAGGACCACATCTGTTTCCCAGTTCTTGACTTTGAGAAAGCGAGGACATTTGGTAGGACTGCCATTCTTGGTGGGTGACTGTCTTCCTGAAGTTGGGGGCTAGAAAAAAGAAGAAAGATGGCCCATCAGAGAGTAGAATCCTGGGGCAATTAATGGAAATTATTTTTCTGGAATGTGGAGCAGCTAGATGGTGTAGTGGATAGAGTGCCAGGCTTGGAGTCAGGAAGACTCACCTCCCTGAGTTCCAATTTGGTCTCAGACACTTACTAGCTAGCTGTGTGAGCCTGGGCAAGTCACTTAACCCTGTTTGCTTCAGTTTTCTCATCTGCAAAATGAGCTGGAGAAGGAAATGGCAAACCACTCCACTATCTTTGCCAAGAAAATCCCAAATAGGGTCAAGGTGAGTCTGAAATGACTGAACAACAATGACATTTTTCTGGATACCAGTGTGATATAACAGAAAGAACACTTGGTCTGGGGTTAAGGGACCTGGATTAAATCTTGATTCTGCGTGACCTTGGGCAAGTCACTTAACTTCCCTAGACCTCAGCTTCTCTAACAGAAAAATGAAGGTATTGGACTCAGCAGGCTTTGAGGTTCCTTCCAACATTAGACTTATGATTCTATGATATTATGCAAGAACCTTAATGTCTCTGGGTTTCAGACTGGGATGGGATGACCTCCAATTTCTCTTCCAGCTCTCACTCCATAGCTCTAGCATTTCTAGCATTCTAGTAGAGAGAACATTGGATTTGAATGCCTGCGTTCAAATCCTGATTCTACTACTTACCACCTATATTACCTTGGGCAAGTCACCTCACTCCTCTGAAATTCAGTTTCCTTCTTTGTAAAATGAGAAAATTGGACTAGATCAGTGATTCTTCCCCTTTTTTGTGTCATGGGCTCCTTAGACCTGGTGAAGCCTACATTCTAGCTCTCAGAATGTTATTTCACAATTCACAAAATAAGATTACAAAGGAAACAATTATATTGAAATATATTTATTAAATATTAAAAAAACAAGTTGTTTATACATATATATACCTATATATATTTAAAAAACCCAAGTTTGTGTAACTCAGGTTAAGAATCTCTGTACTAATACCTTTGACCCAGCAATACCACTTCTATGGCTGTATCCCAAAGAGATCACAAAAATGGGAAAAGGATGTACATGTACAAAAACATTTATGGCAGCTTTTTTTGTGGTGGCAAAGAATTGGAAAATTGAGGAGGTGCCCATCAACTGAAGAATGGCTGAACAAGTTGTGGTATATGAATGTAATGGAATACTATTGTGCCATAAGAAATGATGAGCAGGCAGACTTCAGAAAATCCTGGATAGATTTGAATGGACTGATGCAGAGTGAAAATGAGCAGAATCAGGAGAACATTTTACACAGTAACAACCACATTGTGGGATGACTGACTTTGATAGACTTAGCTCTTCTCATTAATGCAAGGATCTAAGATGTCTCCAAAAGACTCATGATGGAAAACACCATCCATATTCAGGGAAAGAACTATGAAGTCTGAATGCAGATCGAAACATATTATTTGCCCTTTTTTCTGTTTTGTTTTGTTTTGTTTCTTCTTTCTTGTGGTTCCTCCTATTGGTTCTAATTCTTCTTTACAACATGACTAATGTGAAAATATGTTTAATAGGAATGTATATGTAGAGCCTATATCAGATTGCACACTGTCTTGGGGAGGGAGGTGGGGAGGGAGGGGGAGAAAATTTAAAACTCAAAAGCTTATGGAAGTGAATGTTGAAAACTAAAAATTAATAAATTAATAGAAAATCTTTGCACTAGATCATCTTTATGGCTTCTTCTAGTTTGAGGTCCAGCTCTGTCAGACCCATAAGGAACAGATAAACCAGCCCCCCAACCAATACCAACAAGGAAAGTATGACTCTCTCATAGCATTTATCATTTGCCTTGTATTATAATTATTTGCGTCCAAGACTTCATTTCTCCTATTAGACTATAGAGTCCTTGAAGGGAAGAACCATGTCTCATTAAACTGTTTACACCAAGTGCCGTTATCCCATCATGCCTTATACCTTCTGGGCACTTGGTTAAACATTTGTCGAATTGAGTATGATAGGGATCAAAAGGTTAAGGTGTAGTTTGGAGGAAGTTCCTGCCAGCTCTAAATACATGATCTTAAAATTAAATGAAAAAAATTAAATATATGATCCTACAGTTTGGTTCCATCACTCAGCACCTACAATTATCAGTTATGTGACCATAGATACCACCTCCACTTCTTTGAGGTTCTTTGGGAAAATGGTAGGGTTGGACTCAGTGACCCCTAGGGTCTGGATCAGCTCTAAATCTATGATTTTTTTCTACTTGGACAGAAACTTCTCTCATTACTCCTTATCTCAACATCTTGGGTAAATCACTGAGGAATTATGGGACTTTTTTCTCCTCTATAAATAAAGGGGCTCAGGCTAGACGGCTTCTAAGGTCCCTTCCAACTCTAGATGTAGTTTCCTATGAACAATTCAGCAAATATTGGGGAAGCAAAAAGTTCTGGGTGCTGGAGATACAAAAATGAAAATAAAACAGCATCATCTCTCCCCTCAAGGAGTTTACAGTCTAGTGTAGCTGGGGAAGGGGTGAATTCTCATGTACTCAAAGAGCTCACAACTCACAGTGACTTAGGAAAGATGAGGAGGGCATGCTCATTGCTAGCTCAGTGGAATTAGGGACAGCCTCATAGAAGAAGGGGATCCTCTGCTGGGATCTCAGAGGAAGAAAGAATGGGAGGTCAAGAGGCAGAGATGAAGTCAAGGGTGGGGTGGTGGTGGTGGTGGTATCTCTTCTAGGCATGGATGGATCAGGCAAAAGGGAATCCTGCTTGGCTGGGGAGTATGTGAAAGGGAGAAAGTTTTTAAAAAAGGAGTTTGGAATCACATTGTGTAGTAGGGTCATGAATGAATGAATGAATGAAAAAAATTTCATAAGCACTTGTCAAGCATTGTCTTCAGCATTGGGAATATGAATACTAAAAGCAACACAACCCCTGCTTTCAAAGACATCCCATTCTAATAGGGGATGCAAGACATTTAACTTGAATATCAAGCAAAAGAGTTAATGCTTTTTAAAGCAGACATTGGGGAGCCCCTGAAGGCTGTTGAGAAAGAAAGTGATATAATTATTACTCTCTATGAATGGAGACCATCTTCTGGGCTTACTATCAGCATATCAAGCAAGTTGTGTGTGGCTTGCTTTTCTATATCTGATTATTTTTTTTCTTAGCCAGAAGTCAGGTTTCTGGGGGATTCTCTTGGCCTACCAGATTATGAGATCTCTGGGTTCCTTTCTATAAGTCAGAAGCCACAATTCAGACAGATAACTGGGGAAAAGAACAGTCTGAATTAGTAAGCACAGAATATTTGTAATGAAATGGAGTTCACTCATTTTTTTTTTGCAGAAGCAAAACAGATGCCCACCAACAGAAAAATTACTAAATTAGTTGTGGTACATGAATGAAATGGAATATTGTTGCACTATGGGAGATGAAGATGAAGAATTTAGAGAAGCATGGGAAGACTTACATGCACTGATGCAAAATGAACTAAGCAGGGCCAGAAAAACAATAGACACAATTAATTCAACAATTTATATGGAAAGAAGAAACACAACAAAAATCCTGAAATTGAATATTGGGTATACATAATGACCAAGCTAGGCCATGAAGAAGAGATGAAAAAATTCACTTTCCCCTCATTCTTTGAAGAGGTAGGGGACTACAGGTATAGAACATTGCATATGTGTTGTTTAGTTTTGAGGAATTGCTTTTTTCTTCTCTCCTCTTTTAAAAATATTTGCTAAAAGGTATGGCTCTCTGGGAGAGGAAGGAGGTATATTTGGAAATAATGGTGATATGAAATTGAAATCTATCAATAAAATATTTTTAAAAGAAATATAACCCATTCATTAATTAAACAACATTTATTAAATGCCTGCTATGTTCAGAGCACTGCTTGAGGCTCAGGGAGAGAGGTTTTTTTTGGACTAGATCTGTAATTTCATTGATATAAAGAACTTCCAGTGAAGAAATTCACTTAGCACATGCTCTGTAACTTGTAGGCAACTGCCTAGGGCCCTTAGAAGTTAAATAGCTTGCCCATAGTCAGTATATTTCAGAGGCAGGAGTTAGGTACTGTCTTAAGAGACTGATATGGATGCACAGGGAACTCTCTAACCAACTTAGGTTTTAAATTTCCAGAAATTGGAGGCTAGGTCAAGTAAGAGAGAATAAATAAAAGAACATGAAACAGTCATTTAAAAATAGCATCAGAAATGTTAAATCTCAGGGGAAGCTGCTGCTGGTGAAAAAACTAAGGATAAAAAAGTTTTTTTTAAAGCTATATTGGAAGAAAATGGAGTATAAGAGGAGAGATGGGCCCTTGAATTGGCATGGATGGAATGATGACAATGGACAACAGAGAGAAAGTAGAGAAAGTAGAGATGTTTGATTTTTATTTTACATCTGTGTTCTCTGCCAAGAAGAGTGACCTTTGTCCTTGAAGGACAGAGCAAAAATGACTAAAGGGAGTTGATAGTCAAGATAAGTAAGGAAAGAGTAAGATATCAGCTAGCTTCTCTAAATGAATCCAAGTAGTCTGGCTCTGGTGAATTTCATTCATGGGTACTGAAAGCATTTGAAGACATAATTATTGAGTCATTGTCAATGAGAAGTGAAAGACTATGGGAAGAGGGAGAGGTACCATAAGATAATATTTGTAAAGCATTTTAGCATAGCACCTAGAATAAGGTAGGTGCTTAATAAATGATGGTTAAAATATTGGAGAAGAGTAAATGTTATCCTAATTTTCAAAAAAGAAAGAGAACAGGCTTCAAACTGTATGCTAGGGAATTTGCATATGAATCCTGGGGACATTCTAGCAAAATCCATTAAAGAAATGGTTAGTGAATATACAGAAAGGGAAGCAGTAATTATTGGCTCTATCAAGAATGCTAGATCATACCAGACTAACCTCATTTCCTTTTTTAACAGGCTTACTGAACTAATAGATAAAGGGAATTCTATGGCTATAAGGTATCTAGATTTTAGCAAAGCTT